ACATGATATATCATGTATTAATCAAACGCGCCAATTCCGACAGTGTAGTTTTGATAAGGTCCGTTGCATTTATCACATATTTTCTATTGCACAAAGTCATTTGTATGTAATCATGTGTTTAACGGAATCTGAAAAGTATTTATAATACAGTCCTAATTATTTTTCTCTTTAATAATTATAAAAATGTTAAAATATTTTCCTATTTAAAAATGAATAAAACATAAATTATATACATATATTTTTTTTTTTTTTTTTTTTAACATTTTATTGGTAAAACAAACAATCTGTAATTATTATATTACAATAAGTTCGTAAGCGGAAATAATACAATGACTTGGATACACATGAATAAAAGCAGCCGCCCAATGGCGGCACTCTTTAACTTGAGTGGTTTAGGTATTTAATTGGATTGACTTGGGATCTTAATTTACATTTAAATCTCTACACCATTTCCTCTTTAGCCTACGAGGTGGGTTGCCTGGGATGGTATCGGAATTGAGGGCGGATATTAAAGGATTTTTATGATTTGTCAGACGAGAACGGAATCGTTTATAGAGGATTTTGGCCGTTTCGTCAACTGTGTTTATTTTTAAGTCAGTGTGTAAAGTATGGTTAGAGACGTAGGCAGGAGCGTTCGTGATAATACGGAGTGTTATAGATTGGAAAGCTTGTATTTTGTTCGTATTTGATTTTTTGGCCGCTCCACAGAGTTGGATGCCGTAAGTCCAAATTGGCAGCAAGAGAGTTTTATAAAGTTATATACATATATATATATATATATATACATATTTCCTACTAATTTTTCAAAGAAATTTAGACTAAAATGTTTTTTTTTATGCCAAAACTGACAATTTTGAATATCATATTCTATATATTGTAATATATAAAATTATATCAGTAATTTAGTTATCATTCATAAGCTATAAGCTATAATATTATAATTATTATTTTAATAAACGCTAAACACACACACACTGATATCCCCTCTTAAAGATCTCCTGTTATAACCATTCACTATCATCCATATTTCTTTAATAAGTTGCATCCGGGGTTGATAGTGTGGGTCGCCGCTGAAAATCCCGGGTGGTCACCCATCCGGGATCAAGCAGCAACGGACACAGCTTAACCTCAAGCGCCATGCGGCACCTGAGATGTCCACTGCGCCACACCTCCCGGTTACGTGCAGTATTGATAGGCGCTTAACGCCAGTAGCCTAAGCACAGCAACAACATAAACAGATCCACTGATGCACCACGCGGTTAATGACTGGTAAGGTACTGTATTGGTACACAAACATAATTTGATTGACAAAAATGATAAGTGGCAAGTGTTGAGTGTTATTATAATATTGCAAACACAGTGTTTTTCAATATTATATTTTCAGCCTCGAAAGTGAAATAAAACTCGAAGGTCGTTTCTAGTACATATTTTCTACGAATACCTGTCATATAAATGGAAATTGTTCTGTTGGAAAATGCGCAATACTATTAAGCATAACCCGAATGGAATTAAAATCACAATGCATTTTTTTCGGTTTTCTCGCCGTGTTGGGATTTATAGCTTGTGTGGCTGTGAGTGCCGAACAAGTCACCGACTTTAAGATGTGCCGGAGTAAGTCAAACGTCACATAACTGTGGTTTACCCGGTCGGATTTCCAGACAGTTGTTGGCTAGATGTATGACATCTTATGATCTACCGTTTTTAGAAACGAAATGCTCAATATCAAAGTTAAACATTGACCCGTGTCCCCGAGCTCTTGAAGGAAAAGCGTGCGACATACCTGTTGGATCTAACAGGACCCGGACGCGTGCCTTTACATGTCCAAATGTCCATTAAAAAAGTCGGTGCAGGGATTCTATTACTATAGTATTTTATCAGATGATGACTCGTACCCAAAAGATTCTTACACTTTGAAAGTAAAAATTTGGAACGGCGACAAACGCGCAAACAGTAGAGACGAATGCTGTTTTACATTTAAAGCGAATTTAGTTTGATACAAAATGCGTTTACCTGTTCAAATGGTACAAACTACATAGACGTCCCCGTTTATTGTGTATACATAAAACATATTAAATCGATAATCATTTTCTAAATTATAATTAATTCTATAAATGGTTATACACGTGTATGGCTGCCACGGTTTTCAACAATTTATGTTGTATTTATACAATAGGTATGTAATTAGAATTTAATTACAAATTAAAAATATTTGTGCGTTAAAATTTTAAATAAAAGAACACAAATCCATCTAAACTATTTTTCTCTACTATAAGTCTAACATTTTTTCTACTAAAAGAGCTAGTAATATTTTATGGATTATTACAGTCCGTGAGATTACGGTTATTTTTTCGGATTATAACATTCCGTTTAATAATTTTCCAGCGTTTTATGACACATCTAAATGATGATAGAACATGTTATATTAAAATTGTAAGACTTATCTACAAAAAAATAAATATATGTATTAATAAGGAAGATGTAAACGAAATTAAGGCGTCATAGCTAGACAATTACTATGCGTTGTTACATTTTTGTTCATTGTTCTACTGAAACTAGATTTGGTTAATTTGATGTTGTTGAGAACATTTTTATTATATTATTATTTTTGCAATAGTTCATCAGATTGCATATTTTGTTGCTTCTTAAAAGTTCCGTTGAAAAATAATCTCGTTTAATTAAAAACTACCCAAAAGCATCCGTTTGTTGATAGCAAACCCGTAGACGGATTTCTAAATACCTTTTGGCGTACAACAAAGGGCCGAAACTTTGTAATTTATGCGCATAAAACGAATAGCTGATGTTTGTTCTTGCTCTTTATGTGCGCTCCGAGAAAACAGCAGAAGGAAAGCTCCTCCAGTCGAAAGTTTTTACTGATTCATCAGCGTTTCGGTTGTAGTAACTTTGTTGTAATTAGATTTCGTTTATTTCGTGTGATTTTCACTCGACTCGACGGGTTTGCAAAAGTACAAGTTGGAATCAAAATCACCAGTGTAAGACTATGGTAGACAACTATATACATTTATCTATGTGAAGCATCTCAATGATGTGGAAACCAAACATATTACACATGTACAATCCAGAGTAGGAGAGGTGCGACACGGATTAAAATAGTGCAATTAAAAACGATTACCGTGTAAAATATAACCAACTAAAACAACGATATATTTTGTAAATTCAACCGATTTTAGCGTAATATTGGGATAAACAAAAACAATTATATATATATATATATGAAATTATTTTGAAACATTATTCGCGCTTCAAATTTTCCACCGTCAGCAACAGCCCTTTGGGTTTTAATTTTTAACAATATCATGTTTTTGACTGGTGAACGGCTGTTGTGTGAGTTTTGATTTTATCATTTAAACCCTCTCTCTCGTCCATTCCGCGTGTGTATGGTAACAAACGGTGTTCACCTAACTGTACACATTGGAGTGATGGTTTTGGGATGTGTAAACGCTGTACCGAAAAATATAATAGCGTGCCTGTGAGTGTCATTCGAACAGGACGTGTATTCAAACTGCATTTGACACACGCGTGTTTATGTGAGGTTTCAGTTGTTTTAGAGCTACAATCGGTTGAGTCACTTGATGCCTCTTTCCCGCCTATTTCGACTACGGAAAATGAGTTTAAAAAGCCAAATAAATGAACTAATGAAATAATAATTATTTTGTACACTTATGTTCCAGTAGGTTTATGGCCATCCCAGTATCATTATATCCAATAACGCTTTCATATAATAGGATCTTACGCCCTCGGAGGTTCCATTGCGTTATAAATACATTGAGAATTAAATATTAAGTAATGCGGGGTTGGTAGTATTATCGTAATCCCGCAGTCACATGCCTTTATTCTCCGTGTACTACTTGCTGGAATTGTATGAAATGTAGATTTAAGTAATTTACAGTATTTATTACTCGTATATTTAACTTGTATACAATGCAATTTCAGAAAACCGGCACTTAAATAAATTGCAAACTATCAGTGGGCTATAGAATAATATATTTTGTGATCTAAAAAAGTTATCATGTAAATATCTTACATCACACACCACACACAATTGTATACAATGTCTATATTATATTGCATGATATAATTAGAAAGAAATTCTAATACTCAAGTCACTGGTAATTGTAATATAGCTAATATTATATTAAGTGGATGCAATACCACCATTGAATTCGAAAACTGCGATAGCTACCAACCACTTTACATACCCTTTTGGTCTTGATTAATATACGTATAAATAGTTCAGAATTTTAATTTTAATTCCATTTGCAAAGACCTCTTAGAGCAACTAAATATGAGGTTTTTAAATCGTTTAGAGGTCATTTCTACATTGTATGAGTTATTATGTAAATTATGTGCCAGATAATTTTTAAATATAGTTAAAATTATCATATATGTATATATTGGAAATTTAATTCTAAAAAATTCGTTTTACATCTATAAATTATGAAATTAATAGAATCTTATTACTAGTGCTATTTTATGTCTTATTTTTTTTTTAATTTAAATTGTACTGTTTGATATTACCGTTTTTGCCTTAAGCGGAATAGCATATATATTTTTATTTGTTATTGTGATTACTACCTTACATTAATGATCAATTGTGCAATACATAGAACTAATTAGTAAGCTGCGTCCTGTTTATTATTATACAATTTGTATAATGATATCCGTTTAATGTATACAACTACAATGTGCGTCACTATGACACTATCTACGCTGATTATTTAACAGGTGCATTGTAATTGTTTCAGATTGTGTGTGGTTTTTCCATTTTAGCAATTAATATAGCATGTAATCTATGAATCGAAACAAAAGTCATAAGTCTTAAGGTCACTCTAGTCACTCTGATAACGTACAAATATAATAACATGGTGTACGTACCTAATAATTAAAAAAAAAAAAACACAAATTTAAAGGCGTAGGTAAGCATTTATAGAATTATATATTATCATACTAATTATTACAAATGTTTAGAAGTATAAATTACATAGTAATGCTCTATGTTTGTATATTCAAATCGAATTCGATGACTTAATTTATTTTATACAGGTGTTTTATGGGTTATCTACACGCATTAAAGGTTGTTATGATGTACTTGTACTTATTATGTGTATTACTGACAATATTCGACTCAGTACGATAGACCACCTCCTTATGCTCACACCTAGAATATTTTCTAAAAATATTCAATTTTGATTTTTTATAAAGTCATTATGGATATTAAGTTTAAACTAATCGTTTTATTCGGAATATCGTTGAACAGAAACACCTGCCGACAGTTTCACATCAGAATTAAAAGCACACGACTTAGGTAAGTTAACCTGTGTAGTACCGAGTAGTGACCGATTTCAACAGAACTACATCCATCAAAAGCATACAAGGAGAATTTTTTACAAAAATAAGCGACCTCATAGTTTTGGTCAATTGAACATTTTTTTTTTTTTATCCGCATTTGATTTACACGAGTTTGCGCACAGAACAAAAACACAAAAACTGTCAACAGTTTTTTGAAAAAGATAATAAAGAAAAATTAACAGCATTACCCATAAGAACACGTTGAAAGTAGAACTGATAAAATTCATCAAAACCACGTTAATATACTCTTTTGGTGTTCATCACTTCATGTTAACAGGACGATTATTATTCAATTGCTATTTTTTTTTTTTTTACAAATCTGTGTGAATATTTTGATTTTCAGATAAGCAACCTAAAACCCGGTTCGACCTATTCAATAAAAGTGTTGTGACACGGTCAAGCGAAGAAAATACAAGTGACAACTCTGTCAGATTTGCCGTCTCAAATATCAGAAACATCATAAAAAAACATTCGGAATTTTTGGTTATTCAGACAAAATTAATATACATACGAATAGTTTTAGTTCAGAAATGAATTACTTAAAAAAATGTATTTAAAATGTTCAAAAAATATTTTCGCTTACATTTATATTCAGATAAAAATTCCGGTTTTTTTTTTTTGTAAACGTTTTATGTCGCCATCGAAGCTAACTTACCTAAGTCGTGTGATTTTAACTCTGATGTGAAACCGTCGGCAAGTGTTTCTGTAAACGATATTCCGAATAAAATAACTAGTACAAACTTAATATCAAAAATGACTTTATATAAAATGAAAATTGTATATTTTTTTAGAAAATATACTAGTTGTGAGTATAAGAATGTTGTCTATGGTCGAATATTGTCAGTTATACGTTTTTATATTATTACTATATTTTACTAAACATCAAGCAGGTACTACCTATCGAGCATTGTGCGATTGCTTTCTGAGATTTATTGTTTTTATTTGTTACTTCAACACACATGTTGTCACACATCGGTTTTCCTAATCGTGGTAAAAAAAAAAAAATCGAGTACAGAAAAAAAAAATGTAATTTGTCAGATGCTCATTTAAATTACCCACGCTGTATAAAGTATAAAAAAATAAACTGTAAAGCATAATAAGGCGGTAACAATATTTAAATTAAACTCATATTTAAATACATTTTTTTTATGTTTATATAACATAATAAACAAATATTACATAAAATACAATTTTAAAAATCGTTTTTTAACCTATATTGTCAAAAATGGAACTGATTTATTAGTGAGTTAATGAGAATTACTTAAAGAGTTGAACGGTACCCTATGTATTTTATTTTATATATAAACAATAAAATAACCAAAAACCCATGTCAACATTTTAAGACATGGTAAAAAAACAGTTTGTTTTAGATTCAAATTATGATTTCTATATTTTAAGTTAACAATATTTTACAAACCTCAAGTTGTGTCCCAATGGGATATTATTATATTTTGTTATTTTCTTTTTGCGGGTGAGCTTTAACTAATCATTGTTGGAGAATTATATCCACAGCACTTTTATACACGAGTTGGACAAAGTATTAAACTATTAATTAAAATATTAAATGTATTATTAGATAATAACTAATAGCTATAAATCTATGGATTTATAACAGAAACTCTTAAACGACAATAATATACTATAGTTTAATCAATTTTACTTTTTAATACATTTATTACATTATGGTAATTACTTAGTTCATATGTTATATCACATATTTTAAATCTTATGTTAACTGTATGTAAATATATAAAGTTTACAAAGATTATAAACTAATATATTTAATACTACATACATAAACTACTACCACACGAGTGTACATTATAAACTTAAAAGGCTTGAAAAATGAATTATAACAAAATCGATTTTCGACCCGTTTAATTTTTCTAGAAATTATACTTCTTTTAAAAAATTATTTAAATATAATATTATAAGTTCCATTTTAAGTTGTAAACTCTATATATTTGCAAATATTGTTTTAAGCGCAAACCACGTGTAATAAATAACAATATTATTCTCTACCTAATCTGATAACTCTTTCTAGCCCTATTCATAGTGTCCGAAATCTGCGGTATAGATGGTAGTTTTTTTTCTTCTATTTATTTTCCTTGACATTTTTTTAAATTCTTTTAGCCAGTTTACACGACCATAAAGCGTCAGTTCCTACGTGCATTATTGTGCATACAACAATATTATTATCATCGTACCTATCCCTCCAGGTCGGTTTGTAAACACGGATTTTGGTTTTTGAAAATAATCTGTCGGCATCGCGTGTCGTGTCAACAGACAACAATATAAAAAAAAATATCCAAAAACAAATTAACTATCGAATAATAATTAATTTATCGCCATTGTTCGTGCGGAGAACGACAAAAAAGATATATTATAATAAAACTCTTAAAAAAACCATAAAATTATCGGCCATCGAACATGCTTATGATTCGACGACGATTACATTATTAAACACCACAAAAGACAATGCGCCACATAACGTTGTTAATTATTTCCAACAACGATAATCTTATTTCAGTCGCTTCAGTCTCATCGTTAAAGTGTTCTATTCAATTTGGTAAAACTATAACTCAAAAAAAAAAAAAAAAAAACTAGTACAGTGGGATCACAGGTATTCTAGAATTAATATAACTGAAGGTACAAATACGAATATTGAACATTTATTTTCATATCGTTATTAAATCTTTTATGCTAATAAAAAATATAAATTTTAAAAATACTGTATAATACTTGATTTTACTTCAAATACCAAAACTATGAACTGCGTCTAATATCGAATTCATGTATTAAAATATATTTTATTGGAAAACAGATATGACAATAATTATTGTGATGATAAGTGGTGAGAATCATAAGAGTAACTTTATTTTCAAAACCAATTTATTAGCTATAACTTGCTATGTACTTGTACTTATTGTGGCAGTATTCGTCTCGGTAGACCTCCAGCTTATACTCACACCTAGAATATTTTCTAAGAAATTCTTTTTTGATTTCGAAGCTGAACAATTTTGATTTTTATAGACTATTTTGAACATGTTTTAAACGATCCGACTAAATGTTTTTACATTATTGCTACATTGTAATGATATCCGTTTGATGTAAATTGTATAACTACATTGTGCGTCCGCCCAATGGCTCAAAAGTGTATGGAAATATTAAAATTAATTGAACATATTTTATCTAATCTTTTTACTGTTTGTACGCGTAATGGACAATGTCTATGGTGGTATAAACTGTATAGTTATTATCATGGTAAAACACTATTTACAACAAAATAAACAATAACGATTTAGATCAAATAACCGGCGGCTTGTAAACCATTTACTTTGTGCACTTAATACTTTCCAAAACATCGGTTCTTACATGCATACTTATTATGTATTTTTTTTTTCAATTTACCTTTACCCTTAGGCCTAAATCCGTGACCATATTATGTAGGTATACTACACTCTGGGGCCACAGCGCCCATGACATAATGTTATTTTTTAATTATAGGTACGTTGTGCCGAAAACCCCCACGATAGTAATTAATAAGTAGTTTAAAGATTACCTTAAATGTAATTAAATGTGTTTGTTTAACAAAAAAAAAATACATATATATATATATATATATATATACGTGTTATAGCTTATGAATAATGTATTAAGCATCGAAAAATACAGAATACTATACTGTAACAATACATTGAAAGTTAATCGATGGCCGTTAGCTAGAAAATGGGAAAAAACACTTAAAACAACTTATTACTTAACGGCTAATAATTTCAAATAAACACACCCATCATCAACCTAATCAAGTACAATCTGAGCACGGTACAAAACCAGCCATAAATAAAAAATTGATCCACCAAAAAGAAGCTCAGCAAAAAAAAAAAACAATTACAGTTAAAATTTGTTTTGCAAAATTCTTAGTGTATCGAACAATATTCTATACCCGCAGATTATATTCCCTTTAACTGGTAAGCACCAAACCCTCTTAAGAAGTTTTAGCCAAAGACATTGTTCTTGATCGAAGAACATTTTACAACGACATTTGTGCTCTACTACAAATGATCAAACAATGGAATAGACTGCCTAGAAAATCTTGTAATGGTTTTAACACAAGACCTATTGGTTTGGTGCAACAGCAGTAATATAATTTACTAATTTAAAGAATACTTTTAACAAATTTGGCACTAATTCGTCTGTTTTAAAAACATTTATAGCGCTATGTTATTTTAAGATGAAATATGTGTAATTTTTTTTTGGAAGTTTTCCCTAGATCTCGAAGGAGAAGCATAAGAGGCAGAAGAAAACCATGAGCAAGTGATTTACACCATTAGGTGTAAGGTCATTTTCGACTTGTTATGTTACATAGAGGATATTGTTTAGAACGTGTTCTTGTATGAGGACTAGGGTGGACCAAAAATAATTTTTTTTTGTTCTTCTCTTGACATTATGTTCCTTGGGGTAAAATAATATTTCCCTATTTTTTTAGATTTTTTAAATTATTTTTAGAGGTTGCGAGCATCAGTTTTCCAAAAAATTTTTTTTTTTAGTTTTTGATTTTTTTAAGGTACAAGTATTAATTTTAAACAAAACGTTGTTTATATACAAATTCATCATTAGAAAAAGAGGAATAAACCAGTATTTTTTTTTTTTTACAAAAAAAACTACTATCCGACTAATTTAGGCCTTAGAATGTAAAATTTGCGAAAATATTGATATATATATATATATACCCTTAAAAGTACCCTGAAGCAACTAAAGACAAACAAAGTTTTTTTTTGTTAATTATTATCGGACAAAGTGGGAAAATGGGGAATTCGAAAATAATGACTTTTTAAGTGCGACAAGTGCGAGGTCGACTGTATAGAGTACAGACAATAATACCTAGTGTAATGCAGGGACACGTTGTAACTACATTGTTATTAGCGTTTCAATTACTATTTCACACAATATAAATATAATATGCGACACCGGATTTTCATTTTTTTAGTAGATAGACCTAAGAAGTTAAGCCTCAAGACTTCCATAGCCGAGTACAACATGTTCACCGTGAGTATATATTTTAACTGTAGATGAAATAAGAAAACGATTTTCAAATGTCTAACAAGTCATATTATTTTATGCTATCTTAATAATTTGGGTAATAGCACTTAAGGTAGCTGACAACATGCATGTACCGTATCTATCTGTGTTTTTAATTTTTCCATCAGGCAACTGTGTTATATTCCATGGTCGTCAACGTCGTCTTAAGCTCAGCCACATTGCAATACACAAATACTGAACCTCTTCCGGTTGCTTTGATCAGACACGACCACGTTGTCGACAACAACGGACAGTTCGCACTGGCGTAAGTTCTATATAACAAAAGAAAATAAGTGTTATTGTATAAAATGTACTATGTTGATTTAGTAACGGGTTTGTTGAACATTTTTATTGAACGAAAAAACTTTAACAAATGTACTTCTGGTATAAAATCAACCTGAACCACATCTCGAAATGGGTTTAACAGACTTAAAAAAAAAAATATTTTTGTCCAAACAATATATTCTCACGAGGAGAACAAGAAATAATAGTTTAATGTTTTTTTGAACCAACCTAAAAATAATATTATGTAAAGTGTAAATCCAAAACTTTGGTTTTGGAGCAAAAACTAGTTTGATGACGAAGAAGGTATTCACATTTCCGCCAACCGTCCATCGAAATAGTTTATGAAATATCATATTGGACATGATTTTACGGATTTTGACCACCTCACAACGGACAGTACAATAAAATAGAAATTAAATTTGAAAAGTATTATACAACATGTGTAGATTGAAATCAATTTCCGTTCTGAAATGGTCGTTATCTTTGCTGTGGTCCGACTACTTTTTCTAATTATTTGTTTTAATTTTTAAAATAGTGTTTGTATAAAAAAAAAACTTTTAAACTGGGTATTTAAAAATATTGGAAAATAATAACGGCTCATAAAGCCAAATATATCAAAAACAGTAATTTCCCATAGAAAAAACATTAGAAATTAGCAAAAAGATCTTGCCCATAATAATGACAATAATGTGCTTAAATTTGTACTTTTAGTGTATTGGTTCAATGTGCGACTGTAATAATTTGTTGTCGTTGTTAATTAAATAAAAATCGACAACATAACGAAATTATTTTTCAGATACCAGTCGACTGTTGATGCATTATCTCATGTAGCAACCTAGAAATTGACAAGGTATAGTCCAGTTGTAGTATTCCCTTTTTTTTAGCTTTTCTTTAAAATGTGCCATAGCCCCACGATGAACCTAACTCAGGTTCTACGTTTAGTCTAATTTTCACACAATAAAACATATCACTTGGAATAAAGAAAAAGTTTCTACTCCTTCTCGGGGGATAAGGTTTATGATACGTTTTTGGTTTGTCGGTAGTGTCTAAAGACAAACGGTTTCTGATATTTTGAAACGGACAAGTAGAGTGAAATCAATAGAATATATTTTTTGGCAACACTGTGGACTTTGTAACTACAAACATTGTCTTTATGTAGGTATTACAAAAATTGTGTTTTTAGGAGCATAAAAAATAAAATGCACAAATAGCCAATAATAGTTAATTAATAAATTGATTTATTATTTTTTTTTTAACAATAAAAGCCAATAGTATAATATACGATAAAAATCAATTTAAATTGTTACTGTAAAAAAAAAATGTTGATGTCAAATATTGTGTAATGAATATATTTACTATAATATATTTATATAACTAAGTACATTATAATATTATGGGTAGGTTTAGTGTAAGTGTACTGTTGAGTGTGTTCATCCTTTACAACATTGTTCTGATTTGCCCGCAAGTCCATTGCACCTACGCGACGATTCTTCATACCAACCAGGTCCAAGTTTATTGCACCAGCCGTCTGCAAAACGATCATGACAGTCTACCCACTGGCATTCGGCGTTGGTTCCGACGCAGGCAATCGTCAACACAACTAAAATAAAACACAAAACATACCAATTATTATTCAATTTTATTAAACCGTATTATTATGGTTTAACAGCCAAGTACCATATGGTATAATAGATTATATGGTTTAGCTCTTTCGTCTACGGTTTGTAAAACAATTCCCATTCCCCCATTCCCACCCCCATCCCTTATCTCTAATCTCTAATCTCTTATCAGATAACAGCGTGACAGCGTTTTTGTGACGTTTTTTTCGGTTATTATGTCCTCCTCTTACTGAAGGGTCCCGGTCCCGGTCCCAGATCTCGTTCCAACAGTTAAGAGCTTGCCCAGAATCGGTCTGTGCCTTTAATCATCACCTACCATTTGCTCGAGTACCGTGGTTACCGTGGTCACAAACCGAGTGTTTATTTTGGGTTACCGTGGTTACAAACATTGAATTTATTTACATTTCGTATTTAAAGTAGAAAGTTCGTGTTTAAGGCCACCCTTAGGGGTAGTATTTTTCGAAAAGTTCTATGCCAGTTAGGTTCGCGGGAGTGTACTCAACTACTTCCCCAAAGTTTCATGGCGAATAGTGTACTAATGCATAAAGGACAAACCAACAGACAGACAGACAGATATTCATTTGTATATATGATATAGATGTAGTCGAATAACTAGACAAATATCAATATTAATGGGCCTGTACACTAGTATTTGGGTGGTTTATTGTAAAAGTGGTTAAACTATATATATTTTCGCCAAATGGAGTCGCACATTTAGTCATAATATTTTTTATTGTAAAAGAGAGAAGCAACTCCGATAAATTGGAAAATAGAAAACACAGCGAATGAATACTTGTATCTTTTTCCTACGCGTTAATTCACACAAAAAACTCGTTATTTCAAACTTTCAATTACTAGAAGATGGATAAATCACTTTTACAACGAACGATAACTTTATTAAGGCGTATTATATGGGACATTTTTTACTAAAACTCAATTTTAAGATGACATTTTTAAACGCGCATATTATCATAGTAAACGAGGATCTATTTTGATATTTAACTTTTTTCTACAACTTTTATAACTCATATAGGATCCATTTATGTACAAAAAAATAGTATTTTTTTCATCTAAGTAATAATTATTTCAATGTAAAAAAAAACTGCAACTGTTAACTTTTTTAAACTGAAATAGTTAATCAACAACATTTTTTTTTTTTTAATTATGCCTTGAAAATGTTATGGAGAATTCAAATTTTTTTTAAAAACTTAAATCGGAGTATTTTAAGAATAGTACGTTTGAAGTAGAAAGAGTTTTTTCGACCAAAAATAAAAGTACACAGGCGTAAAGGCCTCTTATACAAACCGAATGAGAAAAAAAAATGTTTATCCATATTTTGCAAAACTTGTATTACCCATTTGAATGAATTATCTATTTTTAAATAACAACTTGAATGTTACATAGTATGAATAAATAAACATGTGGTTCCTACATCATACTATTATACTTTCATTTTAAGAACTTTAAAATATATTGTTTCGATTTTCGAATAATTATGTCGGTAGAGTATTGTATGTTTCTTTTAGACTAAAAAAAAAAATCTTGGTTTTTTTATCGTACCGTTCATTTTTTGCATTCGATTTTGTTCCAATAGATTTTTATTTAAATTTAAAATCAAACCAACTCTGGTTGAAATCCTAGAGAATCAGGGCAATCATAATAATATTATAATACCTGACCCGGTGGACAATTAATTAATTATTACCGTTTATTAGTATTTTTTCTGGTATTTTACCTAACCCTTCCAATCCCCAGGCACATTATAATGAGCAAAATTTTTTTTTAATTTTTAAAATGATTTTAGTGATAACGATTAAATTATCAAGGAAATTATAAATCTTGTATTTATGGTAAGTAAAGCTCGGATGTAATGACCAGAAATGTATTCAAAATGATTTTTTAAAGGTACTAATAATATTAATCCACTGAAATAATTGCACTGAACCAAAAATGAAACAACACGGTTTTACATAAATCATTGTAGGGTGTTTATAGATCAATAACTGGACGATTACCCAATGCGACAGCTAAAAAGATCAAGAATGTTCGTTGGTAAGCCATTGTGTTTGTATCTTGAGCAAGTTTGTATATGCAATTGACGACGGTGACGTTGTGGAAAACTTAGCTGTTGAGAAGAGCACAGTGGAAACTGATAGAAATAACGTCGATGACCAATTGTGTTTTATATTAAAATAAAATATCTAAAATCATAATACCACTATTACTGTTTGGGTAGGCACAAATAGTACGTTGTTGTTGTTAATTTGATAAAATAATATGAAATTTGAACTGTTTCGTTTTTAAAAACAACCAACTTTACATAATATACAAATACTATTAATAGTAAACCATCGGTTTGCAAAATATGTGAAAGGTCATATGTGCGATACGCATGAAAATAAGGAAATATCCGTCTGGTCATGTTTGTTTACCATCCAATCTAATTAGTGTAATAATTAATTACTTCAACAAAACATACATATTATTATAACGTTTAGATTTTCCGTGTAAATTATCCTATTGTTTGCGCGGCTTATCTGCCAACTAATATTAGGTACCGTTCTAAGAAGTAACTCTAATTAGTTAAAAAAATATGCTTGAAAAAACAATCAATATACCATAATTCAAACGGGCCATTGAAAAAAAAACATTACTTTACCTACTTATTTTAACAGATTTTCTATTAATAACAGAAAAATAGAAACCCAAACAAAGTCTTTATTCCCATAGATAAATTATAATTTTATGATTGAAAATGTTTGAAAAAAACAATTTTAAAACTGTGTAGAATATTAATTGTAGCATGACAATTTATTTTAAAAAATTAATAGAAATAACAGATTTAAAACTTTAAGACATTAAAAAGACATTTTTCATTTGTAACTAAATATCGCCTAACTCTACCTAAAGGCTGCTGAAAGTCATTGTAAGTATTAAATTTTTTTTTTTTCAGATTCGAATCAGCCGATGGCATTTCGCAGTCGAAACAAGGAGCGTTGGTGTTGAACGACGAAGGAGACGGTTACGTTATGATCCAACAGGGATCGTACGAATATAGATCTCCCGAAGGAATTCTGGTGCGAATGGTTTATAGAGCCGACAAGAACGGTTTCCATGTAACCGGATTTCCTTTACCAGTACAACAACAACAGCGATGAAAACATATACAGTGTGCAAAAAGTATACTAAGACTTCTAACAAGAAAATTCGAAAACCTGATTTTACCTACAACAATATCTTAAAAATAAATAAAATTTAATATTTTTTGGAGCAAATATACAAGTAATAATTACAAAAAATATTAAAACGTATTATTAATTTTAAATAAATAATAAGTAAATATCATTATTTTTTAAATATAAGTGGACATAATAATTTAAAAAACACATCATCGTACACAAAGCATACTTTCCAAAATAAGAGAAGGAACTGATAATTCATCTTTCACTACAAAATGATTACAGTTCAAGCATATTTAAATGAAACACGAGGGAAGGCTAAGTTAAGCTAATAAAAAATACAAATCCTTACCAGTTTTACCAGCGAATCACGTCATTTTAAGCAGGTCTGTGCTTGGATTATCGCTTTATCAATTTTTTCTTATCACTTAAAACGACAACCGGTAACCGGCAAAAATATTATATTCCGTCTTATCACGGTCAATTGTTGGTCGGTGAAGGCTGATAAGGTTTTTATCAATAATTTGTATTATTCGTTGAGAGTTTGTACACAATTGTAATTATTTAGTAAACATATATTTTTTGTTAATAATATATTACCATAATAAATGTTATTCGTTTATTAAATATTATTCAATGTTATGTTCATTAATTTGTTGATAATTCATAGTGCACGTTTCATGTTAGTTACTGTGCTATTGCTGTAGTTGTATAGTTGTTATGCTCGCCCTCGCTAATGTCGGTCGCAGATGCAATTGCTGGTACAACGCATCACGAATAGTATTGTTCAATTATTCTGCAACGACTCAATCAAAGTGGCTCACACAGTAGGTGAAAAAACATATTGCATTATTTGTTTTCCTGGAAAATAATACAACTTTACAATCATCGTCGTAGGTATAGACAGTACCGAGATCCGATTTCAAAACGTTTGTACAGCCAAATGGAGAAAATTAAAAATCGTTTGGCTCAAGAGCGATCGCCATACCTTTTACAACACGCCGAAAATCCCGTACAATGGTATGTATCCTGCTGTTTAATTTTATTTAACTACAAAAACTACTAACGTTTGGGCGTAATATTATTAAGGTATCCGTGGAGTGATGAAGCTTTTGATAAAGCCCGTACCGAAAAAAAATTAATTTTCCTCTCGGTAGGATATTCGACGTGTCATTGGTGTCACGTCATGGAACACGAGTCTTTTGAAAATCCCGATGTGGCGGCTATCATGAACGAGCATTTCGTCAACATAAAAGTCGATCGCGAAGAAAGGCCCGATGTAGATCAGTTGTATATGACTTTCGTTCAAGTACGCAAAACTTTTATTATTTCTAAGCGTAATATAATTTTTAAACCACAAATTTTTTGTTGTTCAGGCAGCCTCTGGTTCGGGAGGATGGCCGATGAGTGTGTTTTTAACGCCCGATTTGAAACCCATCGGTGGTGGTACCTATTACCCGCCGGAAGACTCGTATGGTCGGCCCGGATTTAAGAGCGTTCTTTTGCATATGGCCAAAAGGGTATGTTTAGTTAGTAGTGAAATTTCTAAACAAATTTTGATTATTACACTCTGCTTTGTTCGACTTTAGTGGAAGAGTGATTCAGCCGACGTGCTAGCAAACAGTAAAAAACTAATGGAAATACTAAACGAGACGACGGCTTTCGATATAAACGTTCCTCTCGAACTCATGAAACCTAACCCCAGATCATGGATAACGTGTTTCTCGCAGTTGCAAAGAATCTACGACGACGAATGGGGTGGTTTTGGTATGGCGCCGAAATTTCCACAACCGTCGATATTAGACTTTTTGTTTCACATTGCTTGCAAACGACCTAAAACGACAGAAAGTGTAATGAGTCTCGAAATGGCTTTGGAAACCCTGAAAAAGATGGCCATGGGTGGTATACACGATCATGTGGGCCAGGTACGTGATTTTAACAACAAATTATTAGTAATTATCAGCTTGATTTTTTTTTTCTATTCCCAAGGGATTTTCTCGATACTCGACCGATCAAAAATGGCACGTACCGCACTTTGAAAAAATGCTTTACGACCAAGCGCAGTTGTCTGTATCGTATACCATCGCCTACTTGATTACGAAAGATCAACAGTATGCCGACGTAGTCCACGATATCCTTCAATATGTCGGTAGAGATTTAAGTCACAAGGTACATACATTCAGCAAGATAACCCAACCTTATGGTTTATCATTAACTCTGATATTGAAACAAGTAATTTTTTTATAGGACGGTGGGTTTTACAGCGCTGAAGATGCCGATTCTTTACCGTCTGCCGATTCGGATAAGAAGCGAGAAGGAGCGTTTTACACATGGACACAAAGTGAAGTTATTGCCCTGTTGGGTAATCCGCTTGCTTGCAAATCGGACGTCAATCTTTCCGATTTATTCTGTTGGCATTTTAGTGTTTTGCCGAATGGCAATGTTCGTCCGGATTCGGTGAGTAGGCTGCTACCAGACGTACACTTTGATAAAAATTGACCGATACATTTTATACTCTATTGTCGTCAAGGATCCTCACGGCGAACTATTAGACCAAAACGTCTTGATAGAATTCAGAAGCAAAGAAAGTACTGCCAACAAATTTCAAATATCCGTCGACGACGTCGAAAAAGAACTTAAGATAGCGAAACAAATTCTATTCAAAGAGCGAAATAAACGACCGCGGCCACACTTGGATAACAAAATCATTACGTCGTGGAACGGTATTGCATTGTTTTGTGGCTTCGCTATTATAAGTTTTCTTCGATAAAATCTTGATCAAATAATGCTTTTTTTGTATATTTAAGGTTTGATGATTACTGCGTACGCCAAGGCAGCAATGGCGTTAAAATGCGACGAGTACAAACAACGAGCAGTTCATTGTGCAAAGTTCCTAAAGTCGCATGCGTGGAACGAAAGCACAAATATGCTATTACGTTCTTGCTACGTCAACGAACTGGGCGACATTGTGAATGTGTAATTTAATTTTGGATTATATTTTCAGTGGTGTACAATTGATTCTTTGCTGTTTTAAAATAATAACTTTGGTTTTTATTTTATAGTGAAAAACCTATCATGGGTTTTTTGAACGACTACGCCTATTTAATACGCGGGTTGTTAGATTTATACGAGTGTACGCTACAGTCCGAATGGCTTCGGTGGGCCAATCAGTTGCAACAACAACAAGACAATTTGTTTTGGGACAGTGAAAAATTTGGGTATTATTCGTCGTCCGATAACGACTCAAGCATAATTTTAAGATTCAAAAGTGGTAAATATTATCACGTTTACTGAAAAAAATAACAAAATATGTTGTTAACTTGGACTTGTAAAAAGAAAATAATATACTGTATTTGAATAGATCACGATGGAGCGGAGCCGTGTGGCAATTCGATATCGGCCTTAAATCTACAAAAATTATCAATCATTTCGGATAACACTGAATACAACAACAAACTCGATTTACTATTTAAATCGTTCACCGGTCGCCTGTCCAACAGTTCTGGATCTTTACCGACTTTAGTGTCCGCGCTTACTCTGCATTGCGATTCGATAACGTCGGTAAGTCTGACAAACAGCTGAATTAAAATCCCTTGATTTCATTGAAAGGAATTACTTTGTCGTTTCAATGTCAGCCCAACTTATTTTTTTCTAGGTCTACTTCACCGGCAGTTTAGACGATCCCGATTTAGACCCTCTGTTGTCCGTAGCTAGAGAACGTTTCATTCCCGGGCTGACGATGGCTTTGGCCAACGAAACATCTCTATCGGAATTAGCCAAAGGTCTAGCGTCTTCACAAAACGGAAAAGTCGCTGCATACGTGTGTAAAAATAATGTATGCAATTTGCCTGTTCACACTTCGGACGAGTTGACTGCTTTGCTCGACAATTGAAAAAAAAAAAAACCCCGTCAAAATTAGTTTATATTTATTTTTGTATTTTTTAAAAATATTTTAGTAACTGTTGAAAATAAATAATTTTAAATTCGGTTTAGAATCAAAGTTTACGTGTGCCGTACGCCAAAACAAAAAAATTCCAATATGACCATGTTGTTTTTGTGTGTAACGTGTGTTGTATTGAAAAGTACAATATTATTGTCATCGTCACTCAAAAAGTGAAAAATTGGATTTTTTTGGTTAAGGTAATTATCTGATACAAATAAAAAAGTCATGAGAGATTAATTTGGAGCTTATTTAAAAAGCTTTAAAATTCGTCTAATCCCAACTTTTCTATCATTAAAATTGAAGAAGGTACATAAAGTTTAATATCAAATTAATGTTATATAAATGGAATACAATAATTGTAATTGTAAGAACGACAACTTGTGTTGGATGGGAGTCAAAATAAGTTTGAATAGCTATAATATATGTTTATGTTATCGTATTTAAATGAAAAATTACTTTCTGGCTAATGACTTGAATAATAAGTTATAATCTCAACAAAAAAAAAATCCCATTTAGTTAAAGAGCATAATATTAATAATTTAAATTATAATTATACCACGAAGACAAATGGTGAATACCTATCAAATATGAATTTATATTAATACATTTTTTTTTTTTGTCGATAAAAAGTTATACTCGACTAGCTTTGTAAATAAATTCACACAGGCAACCTTACAAAATATTTCTAGATTACTAATACGGTATGTTGACTTATGTGAAAAACTAATAACTAAAAAGAACAAGTGTAAACTCTACTTTAGGTCTAATTTTTAGACATACCACTCCCCCCTTAGGGGTAACGGTTTATTTAGTATATCTTTAAAATGGCTAAGACTCAGTACAATAATATATTCAATATTTTGGTTTATTCTGTTTAAAATATATTTGGAATGTATTTTATACGGTAACTAAAATTTTTTATTGTTAACAAAATATATGCTCCGTCTCGCATGTTTTTAAGAGACGTGTATCGTTTTGTTATTGTCAAAATAAGATAGTCGTTTGTGTCCTACTTTAATAAACCTTATGGACTGAATAACACTTGCTAAATAAAGTGTTATTATGTTCATTTACGTTTTTCTCTGTGCATTTTTAGGTTGTCTAAAGAAAAACTTTACAGGATTTTCTAGAATAAGAAAATTTGATTACAGATTAATACACTATGAAAAAAATCACGGTTTTCTTTGTAGCTATCATCATCTTGGAATTAACTATGGGTAATTTTTATATGTTGTTTTTTAACAACAGTAATCATACACTATAAATATTCGAGCATAAATTTGTATTGATATCTAATTATGTTTTTTAGTCATACAAGGAATGCCATATCCTTCGGGTAAGTAACAAACAAATATTAATGTTCACCTAAATTTGTATGTACAATTATTTTGTTTATCCTATACATTTGTAAGGATTTATTGTATAACATGTGTCTGTGTACCCACGATATCTTTTAAGCCGTTTTTTAGTGTAGCAACTCGATACATCAGAAATCGTACCTGTAAGGTACTTTGTTGGGTCATAAAATAAAATAAAAAATTACCCCTTCCCCTTCAAATTTGAGAAAATTACCCAAAAAATTCACATATTTTTCAAATAAAAACTACGATATTCTAAAACAGTTTTGAAAAATAGTCGAATTAGATCCAAAGTTAAAGGGAATATTCTTTAAGCATAGCACTACCGATAAACATTGACAAACCAGAAAAATATCCTGAGCGGGGATAGAAGGGATAGCGTTTTTTAAATTAATTTTCTTTTTCAAGCATAGTTTTGGGAATTTAGATCTAAAAATGTTGACAAATTTCTTTAAAAGTGATTTTATTACTTTCAGTTTTAATAAATCCTGTAGACCTGATTACCCCACTTTACTAGCTTTATCTTATATAAATTTAACGTTGGAAAATAGTACCTACCTATTTTATTTTATATGATTTGTTGGACTAGGTGATAAAGCGCCGCAAGATAATGCACCTAAAGAGACAGGTAATAATTAGATTTAAACAAATGTATTTATACCTATTTATTCTGATCCAGGGGTAGATTAACACGTTTGTGAGTTATTTGCTTATTATTCGTCTCACGTCAATAAATATATTGTCATATACATTTCTGTCGAGTCAAAATTAATTGACACGATGAAATGTATAATTATTTAAACATGCCTGACTTTTTGTTTATTCATGTTTTTAGGTTGTTTTGGAAAATGTATACATGGTATGTTGTATCTTCACCTATTAGCTTGTTTCAGCTCTCAATTTGAGAGTTTTCAATGTGAAGTTCTAATATTTTTTTTGTGAGGTTTGCTACTAATAAACTAGTAAATTATGAAACAAATAATTTTGTTTACACAATTTACCGATGATACCAAAAGTTTACTATTTTTTTAAAGCAATTTAAATGTATTATAACGTACACTACAATATAAATTATATTATAATACATAATAACAATTAGACTTTTTGTTCATGTACAATATTCAAACATGACTTATCATTAACAGTTGTGTTGCACTGTAACGGGTTCTCATAAATTGGGCGTCATTTTGAATTTAACTTAAATTGAATATATGGTTTTCAATGTAATGTGTACATTAAATTACTAAAATGGTTTATAGCGGTCGGAGACGCGGTGAAAAGTGGTTTTCATAAAGTCAAGGGTTGCTGTTGTAAACCAAAAGAAGGTAAATCAATTTTCTCTTTACTTTATTATATCTATTTTAAAAAAAATTGTCTGTAGTTAATTTCGTGAACACATGCATAATTGTTAATTAGTAATAATTACCTATGTAAATTTGTTTAATAAATTAATAATTTTCAGAGCCCGTTTGTGTGTTTAATCAGAATGTGGATAATCCTTAATTCATAAGGTAATCAAACGTTATCATTTTATATATACATGTATTAGGGTGGTCCTTTTGTTTCGAGCGAAATGTTGAAATTAACTTATTTACTTTTTTCTGTAGTTTAAATTTTTTATTTATTCAATGACCATTAAACAATCTAGTTTTTTTTTAAGGTTTATCTAGTAATTATTTTTAAAAGTTCTCTTGTAGCACACTTAATCTAGTTAACAAAGATTTTTCTTAACAATAGCGACGTTATGAAAATAAATTCTATTTACCCTATGAATAATAGTATTAATTATTTTTTTAATTACAGAAAGAATCCAACTATGGCGTGCAGAAATATTACAGTTTCTCATTAATACAATATAAAGTACTATTTTAATTGTATAAACTTTTACTAAAACAAAATTATATATTTCACAAATTCACAATAAATGTTTACCTCCTGGCAAATTTAAATTGTTTTGCTTCTATTAGTTATACCTATTAATGTACGTTTGGGTGCCGACCGTTTATTAAGGAGTAAAGAATGGGCAATTTTTTACAAAATCTTAACTTAAAGGTGTCTAACCTTTAAAATGTGTAATTATTAGTTCAGTAGTTAGGACTCTTTTTTGGTAGTTGAATTATTCAACGAGATCGATAAAAATTAAATAGCGCTATTTAAATGAACAAAAATGCTTTTACAGAAAAAACTCTCACGCATTGGACACATGTCGAATTTTAATCATTTTTTGTTTTATTTGAAAGGTGAAACTTTTTACAGGTCGGATAGAATCCCAAATTTTCATAACATCAAATAGGGCTAAATAAAATACAAATATTGGCATAAATCAAATTGCCTATTAAAGCTTCTATAATAAGAATTTTGAAATTCGGGCTTCTATCGGACCTGCAAAAAGTTTTTCCCTTTCAAATAAAAAAAAAAAAAATTATTAAAATCCTATTATTCCACAGGACGTGAGAGTTTTTCCTGTGAGACATGTTTTTGTACTAAAAACGTACCGGCTGACAGTCTTAAAGATAAATTGAATTATGAACACAGGTAGATCTAGAGATGAAAAAGAAGTAGGAGGGGGGACTAAAAAATATATATTCACAGGTCACAGGTTTACAGGAATAAGTACAACTGAAAGTGATAAAATTATTTTTAAAAAAAACCAATCAGTAGTTAGTATTTTCAAGCCAGTAAAGTCCAACCCAAGCACAGTTTAAACGAGCACACTAAGATAGTATTAAAGTGAGGCGCAGTCAATCGGGTGACTAAAATATAACCAACAATCCTGAACACTTCAAGTATATGTACAACAGATAGCTATATCAATACAGTATCAATAAGATTCATTCAACATTGTTGTTTTATTTGAACGGGTTGCGTTTAATAAGAATTTTTATCAACAATGATATTTCGACTCGAGGCTGAGACTTTGTATGGTAGTATATTAAACATTTCGATTTATTCAGTTTAAAATATATTTGGATTATTTAAAGTATTGGATTATTATCTTTTGTTCAACGTTAACCTAAACTGTTTATTGCTAAAAAATATGTTTACTCCATATCGCAGGTTTTTTTTAGAAACGTGTATAGTTTTGTTTTTTTACAAACAACATAGTCTTTTGCGTCACACTTTAATAAAACTCTCAATACATGGTCTGAATAACACTTGTTAAATCGTTTATGCTATCAGTGTAAATCCATACTCGCATACTACGTTTTGTGAGTAAAATATGATTATGTTGAACATCTTTGAACATTAATCGTCATTTGTGATTACATACCTAAAACCATAATTATAGTGTGTGATTAATTTCTCAACAATCATTTAACATCCTGAGAATGATCTATTGTAAAAAAAAACAAATAAAACTTAATATCAAATATATTTTCATAATAATGACAACTATAAAAAAAAAATGGCGATTTTTCGCAGTGTATTATTGAAATTTTTGTATTTTGGAAAGCTCTGTAAAGTTGTACGACAGACAACCAAAAAATGTTCAGAGAAAAACTTCATTAGAGTTCATTTAAGTTTACAAGATTTTCCAGAGTAACGAAATTTCTTAAAAAAAATATGCAAAAAATTGCCTTTTTTTATAGCTGTCATTATTATGCAAATATCTTTGGGTAAGTTTTGTTTGTCTTTTTTTTTACAACAGTTCATTCTCAGGATGATTGTTGATAACTAATCATGCACTACAATTATTATAGTTTTATGGTATCTAATTCAATGATATTTGATGTTCAACATAATCACATAATCATATTTTACTCACAAAAGTATGTGAGTATGAATTTACATTGATAAATAATTTTATTGTTTAGTCACACAAGAAAAGCCATATACATCTGGTGAGTAACAAAAACAAATATTAATGTCATGTCACACATTTTCTTACAAATGTATTGTATATACATTTTTTCTACATTTTCTATATTATCTAACTATTAGATTAGAACTATTATATTAAACTAAAAGTTTCCACTCCTTCTTGGGGATAGGTGTTATGATATTTGTTTGGGTTTTCAACGTTTTCGGTAGTACTTTGTTAAAAGAATATTCTATACAAATTTAGAACAAATTGAACTTTTCGGCGTTTTCCTTATTTTCAAAAATGGGGTATATTTTTTTGATACTAAGGATTATGTATGTCAGTGGTCTATAAATTTTGTTTACTGCAATAAGTTCTGAAAATATTGTTACTTTAAGAATAAAATACATAAATATCAATAAGACTCACGCAACATTGTTATTTTATTTGAACTTTTAGAAATAAATTTATCAACAATGAAATTTCAGATTTAAAATGGTTAAGATTCAGTATAATAATATATTCAATATTTTGGTTTATTCTGTTAAAAACTTTTTGGAATATTTAAAGTATGGGATTTTTTTTTTTTCAACGTTAACCGAAATGTTTTATTGTTAACAAAATATATGCTCCGTCGCATGTTTTTTAGAAACGTGTATCGTTTTGTTGTTGTAAAAAAAAGATAGTCGTTTGTGTCCTACTTTAATAAAACTGTTTTCATATAGACTGAAAAACACTTGCTAAATAAAGTAGGTATGTTATGTTCATTTAAGTTTTTCTCTGTATACTTTTTGGTTGTTTATCGTAAGACATTACAGGATTTTCTAGTATAAGAAAATTTGATTACAGATTAATACACTATGAATAAAATCGCGGTTTTCTTTGTAGCTATCATCATCTTGGAAATATCTTTGGGTAATTTTTATATGTTTTTTTTTAACAATAATTAATCATACACTATAATTATGGTACGCGAGCATAAATTTGTATTGGTATCTAATTTTGTTGTTTAGTCACACAAGGAATGCCATATCCATCAGGTAAGTAACAAACAAATATCAAAGTTACGTCATGTTTTATAACGGTTTTTAAAAAATGGTCGAATTAGCTCCAAATTTGTAGGAAATATTCTTCAAGCATAGTAATGCCGATAAACATTGACAAACCAGAAAAACATCCTAATTACTTTTTCAAGCAAAATTTTTGGGGATTTAAAGTGTGCAAATTAGGCTGAAAGTAGATCTAGAACGGGTCTATAACATGAACAGTCATTTATTTAAAAGTGATTTTATTACTTTCACTTATAATTATTCCTGTAGACCTGAGACCTCCCTGACCCCACTGTACTAGCATTATCTTATATACATTTAACGTTGGAACATACTATTTTGATTTATATGATTTGTTGGACTAGGTGATAAAGAGCCGCAAAATAGTGCATCTGAAGAGACAGGTAATCATTATACTTGAAACAAATGTATTTAGACCTATTTATTCTGATCCCGGGGTTTCGCATGTTATTCGATTATTATTCGTCTTGTGTAAATTCTCTTCTTTTATTGTTTATACATTTTTTCTATATTTTATCTTATCTTTTATCTTTTTACATTTGAACGGATTTGTTGTATAACATGAGTTGTACCCACGATATCTTCTAAGCCTTTTTTGTGTATCAACTCTATAGATCAGAAATCATATCTGGAAGGTACATTATTGGGCCGAAAAATTTCCATTTTATTCAACTTAAAATTACGATGCTATAGAAATGATTTTAAAAAATAGTCGAACTAGCTCCAAATTTATAGGTAATATTCTATAAGCATTGTACTCCCGATAAACATTGATAAACCAGAAAAATATCCTAAGAAAGGATAGAATAGCATTTTTTTTTTATTAAACTTTTTCAATCAAAGGTTTGAGGCTTTAGATCAAAAAATTATACCGAAAGCATATCTAAAATGGGCCAAAAACAAATACAGTGGTCTTAAAAATCTGTAGTCCCAATTACACTTAGACCGTATTTATAACTTTTGGTCAATTACTATCCACAGATTCGCATTGAGGCGTTTATTTAAAAGTGATTTTATCACTTTCAGTTATAAGAAATTCTGAACACCTGAAACCTCCCTGATCCCACAATACCCTGACCCCAATTTATTATATACATTTAACGTTGAAAACCCGTATTTTAATTTGTATGATTTGTTGGACTAGATGATAAAGCGCCGCAAGATAATGCACTTGAAGAGACAGGTAATAATTCGATTTAAACAAATGTATTTAGAGTTTAGACCTATTTATTCGCATTGAGGCGTTTATTTAAAAGTGATTTTATCACTTTCAGTTATAAGAAATTCTGAACACCTGAGACCTCCCTGACACCACTGTACTAGCTTTATCCTATATACATTTAACGTTGGAAAATACTATTTTGATTTGTATGATTTGTTGTACCAGGTAATAAAGAGCCGCAAAATAGTGCATCTGAAGAGACAGGTAATAATTATACTTGGAACAAATGTATTTAGACCTATTTATTCTGATCTCGGGGTAGATTTACACGTTTGAGAGTTATTTGCTTATTATTCGTCTCATGTAAATAACCCAGTAAATACATTTCTATCAAACATAATTAATTAACATGATGAAATGTATAATTATTTAAACATACCTAACTTTTTGTTTATTCATGTTTTTAGGTGGTTTTGTAGAATGCTTACAAGGTAATATTTGTTTTATTAGATTTGCTCAATTAACTAGTAAATTATGGAACGAATAATTTTGTTTACACAATTTACCGATAATACCGAAATTAGGTTATTTTATATTTGCTTTACAAATTTATTTATTTTTATTTATTATTATGAGTACCGGCTAAAAGCCCAATGGTTAAATTACAAAAAAATAATTCATGTGTAAATAAAGTTACAGTAGTAATAAATTTTGGGTCATTTTGAATTTAACCAGAATTAATTATATGAATAATAGTTTTAAATGTACTGTTAAAATGTTAGGGGTCGGACACGCGGTGAAAACTGGTTATGTTAAAGTCAAGGATGTATTAAGTAAACCAGACCCAAGTAAATAAATACTGTTTATCTCCTTAACTATATTATGATTCGCAATTAAAAAAAATATCTATAGTTGATTTAGCGGTTCACATAAATAATTAGTAATTACCCAATTAATTAATTTGCTTAATAAATGATTAAATGTATAATTTTTCAGAGCCTGCTTGGTTTTATACTAGTTATGGCCCTGTTCCTATCTATCGTTCTGTTAAAAAATAGGTAATGAATATATAAATGAATAAACGAATAAGTAAATAATGTATACAGCAATCAAACTAAATAAATATAAAATATATAGGCAAAATAATTAATAATATTTATTAATGGTCGGTAACTTTGTCAAATCTAATATTGCAGCCAATGTGTATAAGAATGGTTATCCTTTTCATCAATTCATAATGTAATTAAACGTAATCATTTCATATAAACATGTATTAGGGTGGTCGTATTGTTTCGAGGAAAATGTTAAAATTAACTTATTTACTTTGTTCTGGAGTTTATATGCTTTATTTATCTTATAACGATTTAACAATCAATTTTTTTAAAGTAGATTTAGAGGATATTTTTTTTAAAAGTCTGATTGTAACACATTTAACCAATTAACAAACGTTCTCAATAGCGACGTTATGAAAATAAATTCTGTTTGCCCAATGAATGTTATATTATTTTTTTTTAATTACAGAAAGAATCAACTATGGAGTGCAAACATATTACCGTTTCTAATTAATACAATATAAAGTTCTAATATAATTGTATAAACTTTTACTAAAACAAAATTATATATTTCATCAAATCACAATAAATTTTTACCCCCTGGCAAATTTAAAATGTTACGTTTCTTTTAGTTATACCTCCTACTAATATACGCTTGATAAATATGGGTTTTGTTGTTAAAGATAAATTGAATATGTTTATAAAAATATAATAACTGTGATTGTTTGAAGTGCATTTAAAATAGTGTATTTTTATGGCAACAAGGCGTAATGTGAATGTAAAATATACAGTCGTATAGAGAATGTTTTTTTTTAGATTTCTAATTATTACTAACAGAGGTGGATCTAGGAATGAGTTCAATTTCTACATGGTCTGAATAACACTAGGTTAACATTTATGCTATCAGTGTAAATTTATATTCGCATACTACGTTTTGTGAGTACAATATGATTATGTGATTATGTTGAACATTTCTGAACATAAATCGTCTTATGATTACAAACCATAAATTATAGTATACGTATTTTTTTTTTACAACAGTTCATTCTCAGGATGATTATTGATAAACTAATCATGCACTACCATTATTATAGTTTTATGGTATCTAATTCTATGACATTAGATGTTCAACATAATCATATTTGACTCACAAAAGTATGTGAGTATGAATTTACATACTAGTTCATTTTCAGGATGATTGTTGAGAAATGATTCATACACTATAATTATTATAATATTATGGTATCTAATTAAATGATACATAATGTTCAAAGATGTTCAACATAATCACAAAATCAAATTTTACTTGCAAAAATTATGTATGCGAGTTTGAATTTACATTGATAAATAATTTTGTTATTTAGTCACATAAGTGCCAACAAATAATAAATGCCACATCCGTCGGGTAAGTCATAAAAATAAATATTAATGTCACGTCACACATTTTCATACAAATTTATTGTATATACCTACATTTTTTTCCGTATTTTATCTTATCTTTTATCTTTATACAATTGTGCGGATTTTTTGTATTATATTCGTTAAGTTTTATATCTCTTGAAGTAGAAAACGCTTACATTCATTAAATGTATGTTTTTAAAGTATATTACCACAGAATAAACAGAAGGAAATATTAGAGCTTATCAAAAAAAAAAACGGTCAGCAAAATTGAGTTTTAGCCAGTGATGCCAGAACTCAGATATTTCCTTTTTTTTTCATTTTTCTGTGACTCATGGCTACACTGTTCATTTATTAAATACTGTCGCCATTTCCACGTTTGTCGAGTGAACAGTTATGGCTTATAGCCAAAATGAACAGAACTGCCCATTTCTCAATCATATTCAAAATGTCGGACATTATGTTATTTCGGCCCATAAAAGCCCATGTAAAAATTATAATCTAGTTTCTTTTCGGTTCATTCTGTGTTATGCTTATAATTCATATTTTTGGGTGGAAATAATTAGTGTGGTTTTCGCTTGTCTTCAATGTCTTAAATTCACTTATTCATTTCGACGTGGATATAATTTGTTGTAGTACCAACATTTTTTTATCAATTGCACCGATTTATGATAGCAAAAAATAAAAAGTCAAGTGACTAATAATATATATATTATTATTATATTTGGTAAAACATCTGTAAGCATGTTTCAAGGATTTGTTTATAACAGCCTTTTTTTTATAAATTATAATAATTATGACAACAAACGTTTTAATATCGAATAAAAATTACAATTGTAGAAATATGAAACTATGTAATATTTACTTTTTAGAAACATGTATCATTTTGTTGTCTTACAAAATTTGTAAGACAACAAAATGCCAAATTATTAACATTGCCTTTTGCGTCACACTTTAATAAAAACTGTTTCTACATGATCTGAATAACACTTGCTATAAATAATGTAGCTTTTAATAAAGAATTTTATCAACAATAATATTTCCGTTTTAAAATGGTTATGACTCAGTATAACAATATATTAAATATTTTGATTAATTCTGTTAAAAATTTATTTGGAGTATTGGATTTTTTTTTCAACGTTAACCGAAATTGTTCATTGCTAACAAAATGTTTGCTCAGCTTCACGGTTTTTTTAGGAATATGTACTGTTTTTTTTTTTTACAAATAGGGTCTTTTGTGACCCACTTTAATAAAACTGTTTATATATAGATTGAATATCACTTGCTAAATAAAGTATGTAACGTTCATTTAAGTTTTTCTCTATACATTTTTAGTTTGTCTAAAGTAAAACTTTACAGGATTTTCTAGAATAAGAAAATTTGATTACAGATAAATACACTATGAATAAAATCGCGGTTTTCTTTGTAGCTATCATCGTCTTGGAAATATCTTTGGGTAATTTTTATATGTATTTTTTTAACAACAGTTAATCATACACTATACTCATAGTATGCGAGCATACATTTATATTGATTCCTAATTTTTTTGTTTAGTCACCCAAGGAATGCCATATCCATCGGGTAAGAAACAAACAAATATTAACGTTACGTCATACATTTCCCCTAAATTTGTATATACATGTTTTCTGTTTATTCTATAAATTTGTTTACTGCATAAAACTCTGAAAATATTGTTACTATAAGAATAAAATATATAAATATCAGTAAGACTAATTCAACATTGTTGATTTATTTGAACGGGTTGCTTTTAATAAAAAATGTATACCACAGAAAAGAAGTATCTATTTTGATAATTCGTTTTTTTTTTCAACTTTTATAACGCATATAGAATCTATTTTTGTAAAAAAACACATGTTTCTACTTCAAACGTAATTGTTTGATGTCCTAAAGAATACATCGATTTAAGTTTTTAAAAAACATTTGAATTCTTCACAACATTCTAAAAAATCAACTTTTCCCCTTCAAAACTGAGAAAAACACCCAAAAAATTCTCATATTTTTCAACTAAAAACTACGATGGTCTAAAGTATTTTTAAGAAACTATCGAATTACTTCAAATTTGTAGGGAATATTCTTTAAGCATAGTACTACCGATAAACATTGACAAACCAACACTTCCCCTAAAATAGATAGAGTTACTTCTATTTTCAACTTATTTAAACAAAGTTTTAGGAATTTGGGTGTGAAAATTAGACCGAAAGTAGATCTAGAATGGGTCTATAACATGTACAGTTTTCTCAAAAATCTGTAGTCAAACTTTTTTAATATTAAGAAAAACCATAAAATAGGAGAAAATTATACTTTGACTGTATTTATCACTCTCAGTCTGCAATTACTATCTACAGATTCGCATTGAAGCGTTTATTTAAAAGTGATTTTACAGTGGCTGTACTGTACTGGCTTTTTCATACATGCATTTAACGTTGGAAAATAGTATTTTGATTTGTATGATTTGTTGGACTAGGTGATAAATGGCCGCAAGATAATGCAGATAATAAGACAGGTAATAATTATACTTGAAACAAAATATGCATTTAGACCTATTAATTCTGATTTATGGGTAGATTTACACGTTTGTGAGTTATACGTTTATTATTTGTCTTATGTAAATAACCCAATAAATACATATCTATCAAGCATAATTAATTAACATGATGAAATGTATAATTATTTAAACATACCTAACTTTTTGTTTATTCATGTTTTTTAGGTCGTTTTGGAAAATGTATACATGGTATGTTTTAACTTGTTTTGTTAGGTTTGCGCAATAAACTAGTAAATTATCAAACAAGTAATTTTGTTTACGCAATTTAACGATAGTACCGAAAATGTACTGTTTTTTATCTACTATAATATGTTAAAATATTATGACTTAATTTTTGCTGTACAAATAATTTATATTGGATATGTTAAGCATCTTGGTAATTTATTTTTAAATGTTTTATTGTTAAAAGTACTCAAATAACTTAATTATCTTGAAACGATTTAAATGTGTTATAATGTATACTATAATATAAATTATATTATAATACATAACAATTAGACTTTTTGTTCGTGTAAAATATTCGAACTTGACATATCATTAACAGTTATGTTGCACTGTAACGGGTTCGCATAAATTTGAGGTCATTTTGAATTTACCCAAAATTCAATAAATGATTAATGGTTTTTTAATGTACTGTGTACATTAAATTATTAAAATGGTTTGTAGCGGTCGGAGATGCGGTAAAAAGTGGTTTTTATAAAGTCAAGGGTTGCTGTTGTAAACCAGAAGAAGGTAAACCAATTTTCTCTTTACTATATTATATCTATTTTAAAAAAATATCTGTAGTTAATTTCGTGATCACATACATAATTGTTAATTAGTAGTAATTACCTATGTAAATTTGTTTAATAAATTAATAATTTTCAGAGCCCGTTTGTGTGTTTAATCAGAATGTGGATAATCCTTAATTCATAAGGTAATCAAACGTAATCATTTTATATATACATGTATTAGGGTGGTCCTGTGGTTTCGAGCCAAATGTTAAAATTAACTTATTTACTTTTTTCTGGAGTTTAAATTTTGTATTTATCCAATGACCATTAAACAATACATTTTTTATTTAAAGTAGATTTATCAGTTATTTTTAAAAGTCTTATTGTAACACACTTAACCAATTAACAAAGGATTTTCTTAACAATAGCGACGTTATGAAAATAAATTCTATTTGTCCTATGAATAATTATATTGTTTTTTTTTTTTTATTATTATAGAAAGAATCAACTATGGCGTGTAGAAATATTCCAGTTTCTTATGAATACAATGTAAAGATCTATTTTTTTTGTATAAACTTTTAATAAAACAAAATTATATATTTCATCAAATCACAAAACATTTTTATCATCTGGAAAATTTTAAATGTTTTGTTTTCTATCAGTTTATGTGGTGTAGAGTTAGGTTAGGCTTGCTGACTTATGGCTCGTTTTCAGTATTTTTCAAGTATAATTTTTGGTTTCCTACAGATTAGTTTCATAAAGAAATCTGGTTAGGGTGCAAACGTAGGTGCAAATGCAAAAATGAATTTAACAATGAAAACATATCATTGTAAAAACAATAATCATTGTGCCAATTATGGGTGACAACAGCAATCTAAACTAGTAGGGTAAACAGGCGATCAACCCTAATAGTATTCATCTATTGCTTAAAATACAATTTTAACTAATTGCCTTAAAAATGATTTTTATTGATTTTTGATACTATTTATACGGATTTGCTAAGCATTTTGACTGGTTGACAATCAATTTTGAACCACTATTTTTTAAGTTATAAGAGTTTAAAAGTAAGGGTGAAGACGGGAGAGGAAGAGCGTGTAGATAAAAATAATAATTCACTACACCATTCCTATCCTGCTCTAAACTTGAAACTTTATTAAATTGAAAAAACAGTTCAAAGGGTCAAAGTTTTTAAGAAACTTGTATCGTTTTGTTATTTCACGAAATACATTGTCTTTTGAGTCATACCTAATAATAAAACTATTTCTGTGTAGACGGTGAAACACTTGCTAAATAATGTATAAAATTATATTCGTTAAGATTTTTATTGACATTTTTTCTTTGATGGAATAAAGACACATAAGGTTATTTTTTTTAAAATTTACTACGATTAAAAAATCATAGAACTTTTAGGAAAAAATTTAAATAGGTGATCTTGGCATTGCTTATTGCAACGAAATGTTTGCTTTACCATACAGGTTTAACAAACAATGACATTTCGACTTGAGGGCTGAGATTCGGTGTAAAATAATATATTCAACATTTAGATTAATTTTGTTAAACATATATTCGTAGTTATTTAGAATATTTAAAGTATTGAATTGTTTTTTTTTTTGTTCTACGTTGACCGAAATTGTTTATTGCTAAAATAATGTTTGCTCAGCCTTACGGGTTTTTTAGCAACATGTACCGTTTTGTTATTTTACAAATAGCATTGCTTTTGGGTTTATACATAATAATAAAACTGTTTCTGTATAGACGGCTAAGCACTTGCTAAATAATGTGTAATATTATGTTCATTTAGATTTTTCTCTGTACATTGTAATGTTGTGATTTTCAGCATAAAAAAATTTCAAAGGTACATCATGCAAAAAATCGCTTTTTATTTGTTAGCTATCTTGGGAACATCTTTAGGTAAATTTTTTAAACATTTTTTTTTTTACAATAGTCATTCTCAACCATACGAAATTCATCAAACAAATTCGACTTTGTTATATTATTTAAACGCGTTGCTTTTAATAAGAATTTGCATCAACAATGATTTTGATAACAACATTTTAATTATTCAACTATTCTGATTTATTCTGTACAAAATATATTTGGACAATTTTTGTTTTTCAACGTTAACCAACATTTTTTATTACTAACAAAATGTTTGCTCCGTCCCCATGTTTTTTAACGCCACACTTTAATAAAACTGTGTGTACATAGTCTCAAGAACACTTGCTAAATAATGTATCTTATGTTTATTTAGGTTTTTCACAGTACAGTTTTCGGTTCTCTATTGTACAACTTTACATATTTTTTAGAATAACAATAGTTTTTTAATACATTATACGTAAACTCGCTAATTATTTTATAATTATAATTTTTTTGGAAATAACTGGGTAGTTTTTATTGCCAATTTGTATTTATTGTTTACAATAAATAAACTACAATTATGATTTTACGGTATCTAATTAAATAACATTTGATATTTGAATTACAAAAGTATGTATGTCAGTATGAGTTTATATTGATACCTAATTCTGTTGTTTAGTCACACTAGGAATGCCATATCCATCGGGTAGTAAGTAACAAACAATCATTAATGTCACGTCAGAAATTTTCTTAGACATTTATTGTTCATACATTTGTATACAATTATTATTTATCTGTGTACCATTATGTCGCTTTGATGTTAGCAAACAGTAGATTTATTTCTTCAATTTGTTGGATTAGATGGCAATAATCTGGAGAGGACGCTGCCGCTAAATAACCCAAGGGGTCAGTATCAACTACATGTTCATTATAATATTATGTATATTATATATAAATGTCTGAAGACAAAACCAAATGAATTTAGAGTTTTTTTAACCTTTATTTTAAAAAAAGTCAGTACAGTGGACAAAGGCATAATAGGGACGGGGGAGGTCACAAGTTACCAGGAAATTATAATAATACCTAATTTTGTTTTTTAGTCACACAAGGTCAGCCAATACCACCGGGTGAGTAACAAACAAATATTAACGTCACTTCATATACTTTAACTAAGTTTGTTTATACATTGTCGTAACTTTGTCCTAGCCATTGATCAGTCACATTGCCGCAGAAATGAATTAATCTGTATTTTGTCTCAATTTTTAAGGGAATGGGGTGATTTTTCTCAATTTTGGCCAATAAAGTTTCTCTTAGGTACAATTTCTGATCTAAAGGGTTGTTACTTAAAGAAATCGGTTCAGTACTTAGAAAAATTGGTGGGTAAAGACACAAAATTAAAAAATTAAAACACATTACCTTAAAAACAATACTTTCTCAACTCTTCGTCGAAGATAAAAGCCTTGCTCCAATAATAATAATTATAATATGTGCAACATGTACAAGAAAATGGTAAATAAAAAAAAAATGTATTAATTTTTTTATGAAAAATCCTCACCGGTAACTATAAAATCGCGTAAGAAATTATATCTTTAAAATCATTATTTTTCTTACACACATATTTTAACGTTGGATAATAGTAATATTTTGATTTGTACAATTTGTTGGACTAGTTAGAAGTTGTAAAGGCCTTGTTAAAGTAGAATACGCTTAGAGATTACATTCATTATACATTTTGTTTTAATTGTATTACACAGCGCTAATACTAAACAAAATATTTGATACATGTAAAAAAAAATTGCTACTCAATTGTTATTTATCTGTGTACCAATAGGTAAACAGTAGTTTTATTTCTTTAATTTATTGGATTAGATGGCAATAATGTGGATAGGACGCCGCGGCTAAATAACCCAAGTGGTCAGTATCAACTATATATTCATTATATTATGTATATTTTAAATAAATGTCTGAAGGAAAACCATATGAATTTAGGTTTTTTTTAATAAAGTCAGTACAGTGGGCAAAAGCATAGTAGTGACGGGGAACTCACAAGTTAACAGAAAATTATGTTAATACCTAATTTTGTTTTTTAGTCACACAAGGTCAGCCAATACCACCGGGTGAGTAACACACAAATAATAACGTCACTTCATACATTTTAACTAAATGTATAAATAAATTGTATTATATGTTGACTCCAATAATAATAATTATAATATATACAACATATGCGTATATAACAAAATGGTAGATTAAAAAAAGAGATTTATTTATTTTTTAATGAAATATCACGTAAGAAATATAATTATTATTTCTATTCTAACGTTGGAAAAAACTAATTTGATTATGTCGCTTTGATGTTAGCAAACAGTAGATTTATTTCTTCAATTTGTTGGATTAGATGGCAATAATGTGGATAGGACGCCGCGGCTAAATAACCCAAGGGGTCAGTATCAACTACACATTCATTATAATATTATGCATATTGTATATAAATGTGTGAATACGAAACCATATGAATTTAGGGTTTTTTTAACCTTTATTTTAAAAAAGTCAGTACAGTGGACAAAGGCATAATAGGGACGGGGAGGTCACAAGTTACCAGGAAATTATAATAATACCTAATTTTGTTTTTTAGTCACACAAGGTCAGCCAATATCACCGGGTAAGTGACAAACAAATATTAACGTTACGTCGTACATTTTCATACAAATTGATTATTTATCTATGTACCATTATGTAAACAGTAGTTTGATTTCTTTAATTTGTTTGATTAGTTAGCCTTGAAATTGTTGGGACGCAGCGAAATGACGAAATAAGTCAGTATAGACTTATTTTATATAAATAAATAAATATATATATATATATATATATATATTTATATATAAGTCTTAATAGAAAAACACACGAATTTAAGGATTTTTAACCTTTATACCAGTACGGTCGGGGTATAATTGGGACAAGGGGTTTTTTCTTAATACTAAAAAAGTTTGACATTTATTTTTTAATGTAATGTCTTCCCCAAAGTTATTATAAAATCTTGTAAGTCATAATTATACCTTTAAAACCATTATTTTTCTTATACACATATTTTAACGTTGGAAAATAGTAATTTGTTTTGTATGATTTGTTGGACTAGTTAATATAGGACCGGGAAATGAAGAAGAACATTTAGTACCTATAAAGCGAGGTAATAATTAGATTTGAAACAAATGTATTTATAGTTTAGACCTATTTAGTCTTATCCAAGGATAGATTAACACTTTTGTGAGTTACTCGAGTTCTTCGGCTCATGTAAATAAGCCAATAAATACACTTCAGCCAAGTATAAATAGAAATTATTATGATAAAATGTATAATTGTCTTAAAACAACTGACTTTTAGTTTATACATTTTTTTTTTTTAGGTTCTGGGCCACGATGTTGTATTAGTAAGGATTTTCTTCACTTATTAGCTTGTATCAGCTCCTTCGATTGGAGAGATTTCAATATTATAAAGTTTCTATAATTGTTTAGTTAGGTTTGGGCAATACATGACATGTACAATATCTCGGTTATTTATTAATTAAACGTTTTATTGTTGTATATTTTGTTCGTGTAATTTATATACCCATAATGTCTATTTTATTTAAATGTTTTTGTAGCTTTCTGCAATGTGGTGAAAGTAGCAGGATCTTGTTGTTGTAAACTTCCAAACGAATGACTAGAGGGTACTCTTTGTTATTACAAATACGGTAATCAAATCTAATCATTATACATATAATATATTATTACTAGTTTTAATATAACATAATATAATATACATATATGTACTAGGGTGGTCCTATTGTTTCGAGCCAAATGTTAAAACTTAAAACCAACTTAGATACTTTGTTCTGGAGTTAACATTTTTTTATTTATTCAATGACGGTTTAACCATCTATTTCCTAGCAGTTATATCTGAAAAGTCTGAATGTAACACACTTAACCTATTAACAAAGGTTTTTTTTTAACAACAGCGACATTATGAAAATAAATTCTATTTGCCCTATGAATGATTATATTGGTTTTTTTTTTTTTATTACAGAAAGAATCCAAATGTGGCGTGTGAAAATATTCCAGTTTCTTATAAATACAATATAAAGTTCTATTTGAATTGTTTAAACTTACTAAAACAAAATTATATATATTAATATGCCATCTGGCAAATTTAAAATGTTTTGTTTTCTATTAGTTACACCAATGTATAATATACGCTTGATAAAAATTAAGCTTTTTTTTAAAAGATAAATTGAATTATTTTAATTGAAAATATAATAACTATGATTGGCTGTAGTGCGTTTAAGTGGTGTATTTTTATGACAAAAATGTGTCATGTAGTGTGAAGGTAAATATTTCCATCGGGTTTGTATAGAGTTAGGTTAGGCTCACTGAATTTTGGCTCAGTCTCAGTAATTTTCAAGTACGGTTTTAGATTACCTACAGATTAGTTTCAAAAAGATATCTGCTTAGGGTGCAATCGTGGGTGCAAATGCGAAAATTAATTTTAAAAAAATGAAAACATATCATTGTAAAAACAATAATCATTCTGCTCAGATTAAAGTAAATTATGAGTGACAACAGCAATCAACTCTTAGGGTAAACAGGCGATCAACCCTAATGGACTAAATCAATCTATTGCTTAAAATACAATTTTAACTAATTATTACCTTAACAATGATTTTTATTGATTTTTGATACTATCTACGTATTTGCTCCTAAGCGTTTTATTTGAGTGTGATTGAATGTTTTTCTTAAATATCAGGTTATTATTAACAGAGGTGGGTATAGAAATGAAAAAATATCCACTTCAAATACATATACAGGGTGATTTTTTGTATCGTGTATGACTCAATATCTCACTGGATTTAATTTAATTTTTTTTTCATGATAAAAACTGTAAACACTATGAATGAAGTACTATGAAGTGTTTTTATGTGATGTGAAACACTTGCTAAATAATGTATAAAATTATGTTCATTTAGATTTTGATTGACATTTATTCTTTAATGGGATAGGTATTCAAACGATAGAGATACATAAGGTATTTTTTTTTAAAAATCACCACCGAAATTGATTATTGCTTAAGTAATGTTTGCTCAAGCCTCACTGGTCGGTTGTGTCCCACTTTGATAAAACTGTTGACTGAATAACACTTGCTAAATAAAGTATGTCATGTTCATTTAAGTTTTTCTCTGTACTCTTAAGGTTGTCTATTGTAAAATTTACAGTGATTTTCGGCAAACAAAAATTTCAGTTACATAATGTTTTGCATCGATACTTATTTTTTAGCTATCGATAATCTTGAAAACATTTTTGGGTAATTTTTTTTAATATATTTTTTTTTTTTTTACAACAGTCCATTCTCAGAATGATCATCCGAAATTCATCAAACACTATAATTATGGTTTTTTAGGGTATCCAGTTAAGTGGCATTTTAAGAAGTATAATAAGTATAAGGGCAAAGTTACTTGGCTATAATTAACTTAATATGTAGGCATATCTTGTGCACGTATAATTGTTTTATGAAATTCATTCAGTCGAGCAAAATATTGAACTAAATAAAATACAGCAAATTAATTACACAGTTTTTACACAACTAAACTTTTTTTATTTAACAACTATCAATAGAGAGTAGAAGGGGAATGTATGTACTGGAACAATGGGGTGATTGGGGATTGGGGATTGGGGATTGGTGATTAGGTTTGGGGATTGGGGATTACACAGGTGGCGACTGGATAATTCACAGCTGTCTTGTACCTGCCTCGATTTGTCCTGCAGGTGGTTCGGCCGCCGCTGGGTGAATGGTTGCCCACAGAAGAATGAACTCTACCTTGTTGTCACTGACCTAACCTAACCCAATCATCAAATTTTAATACAACATCATGTTCAGAGAAAAAACTTTATTATTTTTACCAATTTTTATGTTATTATTTTTAACAGCTATTTTTTTTCATAATATTTTAATATAGAAAATACACATACAATTCTTTTTCCGACGTGATCAGTTTTAGTTGTTATAATTTTTAACGGTAATTTCTTTATAACATTATCTATGGATAATACGTATAAAATATTATATTACTTTTAAAATCTTTTTTAAGCACAATGTTTGATTAATGACTCAGAATACGCTATTTTATTTAATACAAACCTTAAAAGTAAAAAATGGTATGTTTCCATTAAACACTATATTTTATCCTTATAAAAGGACAAAAGACATCATTCCGTAAGAATCATACATACACGCCTTAAGCTCACAGGCAGGTGTAAATATTAACATAGTTCATAGACGAGTCATGATAATTTAGTTAAAATAAATTTAATAGTATTTGTATTATTAACCTCTCCCATTTTAAGTAAAATATTTATTTTACAATCCTAGCTCTTAAATCTAATATTAGTAAAAAAAAATTACACTAACCTATCACTGATTTCTTAAATTTAATATTAGTAAAAAAAATTACAAGGTAAGATATTCAAGAGGTATGTCAACATAATTTACAAAATTGTCTAATGTTAATAAACTCCAATTCCTTGCAACTGATTTTTCAAGCGTGTACCATCTAAATAGTGGTCGCCTGCATTTTTTACATTGCATCGAACGCATGAATATGAAAAACGCTTCGATATCTTCAATGGGGAATGACCTTATTCCGAATTCGGATTGCCTCTCTGTGCCGCTGATACAATTTATGTACATTATTTACAATCGACTTGTATGTTTTGTTACTTTAGAAATGTATTCAATTCTAACCATAATATTTACTAATGTCACACAATTTAAACTTAACATAATCACTTATAAATGTAGAACTAAATTTATTGACTTTAATTTCCAATGGAATATTTTTAAAGTCATCCCTTATGGCTTCATAAATATTGTCGTGACATTTCTGATATATTGGTAATTCATGTAAATATTTGTTGATACACGATTGATGAATACACGGATTGAGATTGTGTAAGGTTATAAAATTTGTTTTAGAGATGGTTATACGTTTTTCTCTTATTCTATCTAGCGATATAGTGATGGTATCATTTTTAGCATTTAGGTACTGTGTAGTAAAATTATAATTTACTAGAAAAACGTTTAGGTTTGGTTAAAAATGAATCTGTAATGTTTTTCAGTACATCGAAATGCATAAAGTAATTCCACCATTCTACATTCAAATCTATTTTGATTTGTCCATTGTATTCTAACGAAATGATAACGTAGAACTTTAGAGCATATGGTACCACCGAAACAATGACGCTTCTTCTTTTCTCATCGATATTAAATGTTCGTTTACAAAAACGTTTATCTAAACCCGTTTTTCTTAAAATTATATGTACGTTTGAATACGGTTCTGTTAATGCAGCACAAATACACGTTAAACGTTGAATATTACACGTGTACACTACCCGAAATCATTCAGTATACTAACACTTTATTGTAAGTTTTTTTTTCTTTGAACATAATGCATTTATTTTGCCGATTGGGTTAGGTAAGGTTAGGTCAGTGACAACAAGGTGGAGTTCATTCTTCTGTCGGCAGCCATTCACCCGGCGGCGGCCGAACCACCTGCAGGACAAATCGAGGCGGGTACAAGACAGCTGTGAATTATCCAGTCGCCCCACCTGTGTAATCCCCAATCCCCAAACCTAATCTCCAATCCCCAATCCCCAATCCCCAATCACCCCATTGTTCCAGTACATACATTCCCCTTATATTATGGGGTATCAATAAGACCCATTCTACTTTGTTATGTTATTAGAACGGGTTGCATTTAATGAGAATTTTCATCGACAATGATTTTGATAACAACATTTTAATTTTTCAACTATTTAGATTTATTCTGTTCGAAATATATTTGGAATATTTTAAGTATTGGACAATTTTTGTTTTTCAACGTTAACCGACATTTTTTATTGCTAACAAAATATTTACTCCGTCCCACAGGTTTTTTAGAATAATATTTAAATTGTCTTTTGCGTCACACTTTAATAAAACTGTGTCTACATGGTCTCAAAAAAACATGCTAAATAAATAATTATGTATTTTGTGTTCATTTAGGTCGTTCACTGTACAGTTTTAGGTTCTCTATCGTACAACTTTACATTTATCATTACAAACGTTCGGTAATACATTATGCATAAAATTGCTAATTATTTTATAACTATCATTTTCTTGGCAATAAGTTTGGGTAATTTTTATTGCTATTTTTTTACATACAATTTTTAAGTAATCCAAAATTAAATAAACACTACAATTATGATTTTATGGTATTTAATTAAATGACATTTGATACTGCATCGTGTTTTACTTACAAAAGTAGGTATGTTAGTATATATTTATACTGATAGCTCTATTTCTGTTGTTTAGTCACACATGGACTGCCATATCCATCGGGTAAGTAACAAAAGCGAATATTAATGTCACGTCACACAGTTTCATTCAAATTTATTACCTATACATACATTTTTTTCTATATTTTATCTTTATACATTTGTACGGATTTATTGTTTAATATTATCGTTAAGTTTTATATGTCTTGAAGTAAAAAACGCTTACATTCATTATATATTTGTTTTTTAAGTAGGTATATTACCACAGAATAAACAGAAGGAAATCTTAGAGCATATCAAAAAAAAAAATGGTCAGACATATTAAGTTTTAGCCAGTGATGCCCGAACTTAGATATTTCCTTTCTTTTTAATATGTCTGTGACTCATGGCTACACTGTCCATTTACTAAATATAAATTTATTGTATAACATAATCGTGAAGTTCAATACGCCTTGAAAGTTGAAGTATAATACGTTTAGAGATTACATTCATTATACATTTTTTTTGTATTACACAGCACTAAAACTCAATTAAATATTTCATAAAAATTATAAGTATAAATACGTATAAAAAAGAGATTCCTACTTAATTATTATTTATATGTTTACCATTATGTCATTTTGATGTTCTTTTATTTGTTGGATTAGAAGGCAATAATGTGGATAGGACGCCGCGGCTAAATAACCCAAGGGGTCAGTATCAACTACATGACACGGCCTGCAAGTGCATGTTTCCGTTATTAGCGATTAAATGTGCGCCCGGTCGTGTTATCAACTGTCCACCGTCTCACCGCAGGTGGGAACGATAAACTACTATATCGGCCCGAGCCGGCCGTCGGTGTATGAAGAGGTCCGGGGGGTGTCATCTTGACAGCGAAACACGGCGGCGATGACCACTGTAGGCAATCCGATAATCAGTTATTAATTTAACATTGATCCGCGACTGCCATCCGCCGCCGTCCCGCGTATTCACTTAATATACTTCCATATTGTTTTCAAAGTTAATAAAAAAACCACAACTTTTAATCCGGTTTTATCTATTTTCTTCAACCCCCCCTTACTACCGTGTCAAATTTGGCTCCCCGCTGAGGAAAAAGTCCCGGTGTTCAGCGAAACCAGGTAGGATTATTTTGGCCGCTGTTTTACTGAGAAAAAATTTTACACTCGATTTAAATAATATTTAATTTACTTAAATTGTCAAAATATTTATTCGTGTAAATTTTTGTTTTTTTTTCCATCCTACTAGTGTAGTATTTACAACGAATATATACCTAGTTAGGCCACACACGTGACGTGCTAGTACCGGCGTACAATATACAGGTTAGGATTTTAGTAACGTTCACCTTGTTATTGTTATTGTAACGCATATCACACCCGCGTCCCGGTACCGTCCACCATACGATTAAGTTGAAAGTTACCGAATAACGATCACTGTTGGAAAATAAATTCACTTTCTTCGCATAATATTCTCACTAAATAACATAAATTTATATTTATTTTTTTTTTTTTTTTTCCTTCTCCGGCCATTTATTAAATAGTAACCCGCACGGCCGAACGGATATTTGACTTACGCTAATTACTTCGGTTAAAAACGTACCAAATTGACGATTAAGCATATTTGCGAATAGTTACTACTTTTTTTTTAAGTGAAACCGGTTGAAAGAAAATTAAAATATTGAAGGAAGAAATAAGGTTTATATAATTTTTTTTTAAATTTATATAAACAAACAACACCTTATTTGGTTACTACTTTCAAGCAGCGTATGACGAACAAAAAAAAATAAGTAATAACAATTCTTTTGTTTTTCTCTTAAACGTTCCGGTTATTTGTCATTAGTTAAAAAAAAAAAAAAGTCAAAGATAGGAAACAAATTTAACTTTTTTTTTTCGGACGTGTAGTGACTGTATTGGTATTTGTATACTGGATTATATTTGAATCGCCAATACCCGCTCACCCCTACAGTTTTTTTTTCTTTTCTCCTCTTTTTCTTAATATATTATATTTTTTTTTTCTTCTTTTCTTTTAGTTTGCTTTACAGTAAAATAATATTTAAATCAATTAATTATATATATATAAAAAAAAATTTTTTTTTTTCTCTCTTTCTGTTGTTTATACTAACAACAAATAAAACATCAACACAACGCATACATATATCAAAATTTTAATTTTAATTAATTCATTTTTTTTTTTAATTTTCATTTGTCAAAAAAAAAATATAAAAAAATCGGAAATGGAGAAAACATTAGATCAAATGTCGGTTACCGAAATCAGACGCGAATGCGCTTACCGAAACCTGCCGTATACCGCTAGCCGTAACGACCTACAGTGTGTACTAGAGAATGTGATTAGGGACGGAGGCTGTGATCCGTCCACCACCCTTCTACCACCTCGGCCCCCGATTGTTGATAATGCTTTAAATAATATTAATAGTTCTGTCAACCCGAGACCGATAGGCGAGTTAGAAGCGCAACAGGTACACAATGTAGAAGACAATAGGAATAGTGATGTCCAACAGGACCCACTAGACCTAACCTACGGCGACCTCGAATATGAGGACTCCCGCCGCCCACTCACTCCCACAAACACATACCGAGCTAGCGCGCCGAATGACCAATTCCCTGACCTTCACACAATTCACTACATACGCTCAGCTAGTGAAGAGATAGGAGCAATTAGGCAAAACATTCGGACGCAAACTTCTATAGGGAATCTGGAACTAAGGATAACCGCTCTTGAAACCGCTTTGTCACGGGTCTTAACTAATCAAAAAAACATTTTAAATAAAATTTCAAGTATTGAACAGGACGTCCAAACGGTTAGGTCAACAAACTGTAGTAGTTTTAGGCCAGTAGTACCTACTGTAACGGTAGAAGATAGGGCCACTCCCACCGCTAATTTGAACGTAAGTAGAACTCGTATCGATAGTCAGCCCGCCTCACTCCATGATAGGTTATTACAAACCGAAGAGGAGATCAGGCGAACGGTTAGTCCCCAGCTGACTTTATACGATACGACCTCATTACACCAGTTAGGGAGCAAAAGGACAGCACAGGCCCCTCTAAATAGTACAAGCTGGGACCTAAATTCTAATACAGTCAATAATCGTTTGTATGACTCACAACCCTATAGCTACTCTGTACGACATACGGAAAATGATAGTCGCCCTACGAGTCGACCCAACCGTACCGTACAGTTCGAAAACGATTTTAACGATTCGTCTAGCACTAGGGTAGGGAACCAATCATTACTTATCCCATTTAATGACCTAAAAGCTGCAAGAGCGTCACTTTCTGAGTTTTCTGGTACAAAAGAGGAGGACCCGACACGATTTGTGGCAAATTCCGAATGTATTTTGCGTGAAGCAAAAATACATCCAGCCGCATGGGTTAGAGCAGTCGAACCCCAATTAACGGGAACGGCAGCTGCATGGTGGAGAACGGTTAAGGCTCTAGATATGTCTTGGCCTGAATTTAAAGGCGAGTTAGCCGAAAGGTTCAACTGCCCTGACATCCAGTCCCGTCTCCGTGCCGAAATTGTGTCAGTTCGACAAGGTCCACACCAACGACTGACCGATTTTGTCATGGAGAAAAACCAATTATCCCGTCGAATTCAAACAGGTCTCTCCGAACCGCAAATAGTTAGTACTATTGTAGGGCTCATGAGAGACGAATTTAGAATACATGCTAGGCTCCAACACCCCGCGTCGTTCACAGACCTTAGGCGAATAGCTGCAGTCTTAGATAGCTCTTCGTACTCCATACAAGAGACCCAAGACGCAGCACCGCCGAGGGACTTGAAGAAGTCCTATTACCCACCTACTAAGTCAAAACCAGTTGACTTAGCAAAACACTCTGGGGCCCACTCGGTAAACAACACAAACCGAAAGCCACCTCTCCCCTGTAAGCATTGCAAGGGACCTCACTGGAACAGTGAATGTCCTACAAAGCCCTCGGGAAACGGCCCCAAACCCCGCGGATCTTAGTCCAGTCCACGGGTCACCACACACATTCCGACGACCGCCCACTAGTCCCTTTACCTCTTATACTCAGCTCTGATAATTCAGTAAATGAATCAACTGGCATTAAAGTAAATGAATATAGACTAGTAGACGACCTCGACACTTCTCGAAATTTATTCATGACACAAAGTACACCATTAGACCTAGTTAGAACAAAAAGCAATAACCATTTACTCGAACTGTCACCACCAATTACATCATCACCTCACCAAGTTAGCCCTAGCTCTGATATTCTTGACCAAAGAACAACTAGCGACTCAACTCACCCAAACATAGTTCGAGAAAATTGGTTAGAGCCCAACAATCTACTAGAAAACCTAAATGACGTTACAACCCCAATCTGTATCGAAGACCGATGTGTTCCACTTAAAAACGCACCGGGCTCCGAACAGAACAACACTAGCTTCGACATACACAATGACTTTGATCATAAGAGTATAGAGAACAGCGAAAATACAGGTACGAATGAAACAAGACAGGACACTCGAATTGTTTTTCATTATGAAAAACCCGAGTGCTCTGGACTTGCATCCGTACGAACGGTATTAAATAGAAACCCTAACACAATACCAACTCCATGTATAGAGTTAGAATTCGATTCTGGTTTCGTCACTGCTCTTCTTGATTCTCAAGCACAAAAGTCGTATGTTAGGCCGGAAATTTCGAGAAAATTCGGAAAAACATTTATAGGACTAAATTCATTAGTTCGAATGGCAGACGGGCACACTCAAACAACCAGTGGCCACGCCGCATTCGTCGCTAGAGTCGCAGAAGTACAAATTAAATTTAATGCTTCGATTCTAGACAACCTGTACTGCGATATCCTATTAGGGCACGATTTCCTTGTAGAAAACGAAGTCGCTTGGGATTACTCCGCAGGTACAATCTACTTAGGGACCTCCAAACGAACATCCGTTTGTTGGGCAGCCACTAAGACAACAAGGGGACCCAAAAAGTTAGATTTTTCTGAAATCCAAATTTCGGGCGATCCTATGACTCAAAACCAACTAACAGAAGTCATCACCAGATATTCTGAGGTTTTCGATGGTTCAATAGGCCGCACGAAGCTGATAGATCATGAAATTCGACTTAGGGACCACACCCCCATCGCTCTAAACCCATACCCTTATCCGGCTGAAAAACAAAACATCATAAACGATATGATAAGGGATATGGAGGAGCAAGGCCTAGTAGAACCGAGCACATCGCCCTGGGCCGCTCCTATAGTCCTTGCAAAGAAAAAAGATGGTTCGCCACGCCTTTGTATCGACTATAGACGACTAAACGAGTTAACGGAATCTGATGCCTACCCCATGCCAAATTTAAATGACATGATAAGGAATATGAGGGGCGCAAAGATCTTTAGTATACTAGACCTTAAATCTGGATACTTTCAAGTATCGTTGAACCCCAATTCTAGGAAGTACTCAGCTTTCCGTACTCGCAAAGGTCTCTACCAGTTCAGAGTTCTTCCTTTCGGTTTAAAGAATTCCCCCATGACTTTTGTTAGGCTCATGAACGAAGTGTTAAGAGGGTACATAGATGATTTTGTTCAAGTTTATCTCGACGATATAGTAATATATTCAGATAACCTTAGCAACCATTTAAACCACTTAGCTAAAGTCCTTGAACGTCTGAGCAGACATGGACTGACATGCCACCCCAAGAAATGTAGACTAGGGACAACCGAAATCTCTTTTCTTGGACATTTAGTGGATGCAGAGGGAATACAAAAACAACCCGAAAAACTCTCAGCTATTAGGGACTTCCCAACTCCCCGCAAAATTAAGGAGCTTCGTAGGTTCTTAGGCGTTTGTAATTGGTATAGCCAGTTTGTAGATAACTATGCTGATACAATTGCACCCCTAACACAACTGCTAAAAAAAGGTGAAAAGTGGAAATGGTCAGGTACCGAACAGAACGCTTTTGAAAGCATTAAAAAGGCCCTGTACGACTCCCCAAAACTAAGCTCTCCCGACTACAGTAAAACATTCCACCTCCAAACTGATGCTAGCGAAATAGGCGTCGGAGCTGTTCTCTTCCAAAGGGGTGACAGCCCGGAGGAAAGACAGGTCATTGCCTACGCAAGCAAAAAGTTGAGCGAGACACAAAAGCGTTATACTGCAGTCGAAAGAGAGTGTTTAGCTATAATTTGGGCAGTCGATAAGTTCCGCCCCTACTTAGAAACAGCACCTTTCGAACTCCTTACTGATAACTCGGCGTTGACTTGGCTGCATAAGACCAAAGACCAAAAGTCTAAACTAACCAGATGGGCGTTACAACTAAGTAACTTGGATTTCCGAACGATACACGTGCCAGGGCGCCTTAATCAAGCACCTGACATGTTATCCCGGTACCCATCCGATGGTCCGCCAGTCAACGAAGACCAACTCGATGAAAACCTACTAGGAGTACCTTCACTAAAAACACAAAAAAACAATTCACATGGTACCCCTGATAGACTCTTTTCATTGACACAACAAGAGGTAGAACAAATCGATACACCTATTTCCGAAGAGGTTTTGAAAGCTTGGCAATCAGATGATCTATATGTTAGCTCCATAAAAGAAAACATATCCTCTGACTGTCCAGCCAACAATACCAGAAGGTCAAAAGCACTAAAAAAATCATTCATCTTAAATAATGGCCTTCTCCGGAAACATATCGAAAATTGCTCCTCCTCGTTGCCCCCAATCGTAATACCACTTGACAAAATCCAACAAATCATCTGGTGGTATCATGACCACACTCTAGCCAGTCATCCAGGCTGGAAAGAGACTTTCAGGGCCGTACGACTTAGGTTTTACTGGAAAGGTTTGAAAGAGGATATTAGGAAATACGTAGGTGCATGTCACATATGTGCCTGTACTAAACCTCTGAACGCAAAACCAGAGAATCCCCTCAAACCTAGGAAACCCCGACAACCCTGGGAAGTCATCAGTATAGATCTTATGGGCCCCTATCCAAGAACAGGTAGGGGTAAAACATGCATACTGGTGGTCACCGATTGCTTTAGCCGATGGGTCGAAGCCTACCCGCTAGGTACGGCCACCGCTAATGTAATCATCCAAACTCTCGAACGCGAGTTCTTTTCACGTTTCGGGTACCCTCGAGTGTGCCTTAGTGACAACGGGACTCAGTTCACTTCGAAAGAAATGCTCAGAGCACTCGACCGATGGGGGGCGGAGGGGTGGACTACTCCGGTGTTCCATCCACGAGCTAACCCCGTCGAACGTCGCAACCAAGAGCTGAAGAAAGGACTACGTGCACACCTCGTGGACGAAAGTCATCGCTCTTGGGACACTAAGCTATCGTCGATACTCTTCGCTATTCGGAATAGACTGAACGAGGCTACAGGTTTCCCACCGTCGGTTCTGGTACTCGGCAGAGAAGCCAGACGGCCCGGCGATTGGGCCCTATCTGAACCTCCCGTCATTCCCGTGGTGGAGATCAACCGACATAGACGAGGGCAAGAGACAGTTGCCTTTGAAAATCACGAAAAAAATCAAAAACCAGTCACCCCGATTAAATCAAAATTTTCGACTGGTGACTGGGTGTATTACAAGGCTCATCATTTATCGAACGCTGACAAAGGTTTCCATGCGGGGTTCGCGCCGAAATGGCTAGGACCTGTCCGACTGGCGGAACGCTTGAGCTCAGGTGTTTACCTCACTGACCAGCGACCACCCCGGAAACTTCACGTTTCGTGTCTGAAATCGTCTCATCTGGTGGGTAAGGAGGACCTTAACAGGCCTCATTAGCTTACTCATTGCAGAAGATATTGAGACTGCGTCAATTAATATTTTGTACAATTTTCAGTATGTCTCAATCAACCAGACCGAACAACAGCAGCAACCTCCTGCAAATCATGGTGCAGCACCACCTTCGTGGGCAACAGCTGCTGCAGTCGTTTGGGGCGACCATACCCAGCTCAACTTTAACGCCCGAGCAAGTGCTCACAGCTCCCCAAAGCGAGCTACAGAAGCACCCCGCTTTGTGGGCGGCCTTCACCCGGGGGTGGCAAGCCTGCATGATCAGCGTCCCGGCACCACCTCCACTAATCAATCAGCCGCCAACGCGACCTACGGCGCGTCAGCCCACGCCCTACGCTGGCAGGTCCCCGTGGCCACAAACTGCACCACGCCACATGACGCCTAGGGGCGCCTCCAACTTTTTGGCAACGCCATCCAACTCCGCCGTCCAGAACACTGGAGCTGTGTCCACGGCAAACCAGTCTGCCGGAGCTCCGACCACAGTCACGAGCACGGAACTAGACAACAACACGGTATCGGCGAGACGGAAGAGGATGATCCGTCTCAACGAGTACCGAAAGGCGATGAGGAAGGTGAAGCGGGAAGAAAGGAGTCGGATATCCCAGCAACATCGGTTGGAGAAACCAACGCCACAGGCCGACCCAGGGAAGACCTCGGCGAAGAGGCAACCAATCCCCACACCGAGGACACATGCCCCGGTAACACCAACGGCAGAGGAGGAAGAGGATGCAGTGATGGACGTCACCGTCGATGGTCAAGTTGACCATACGATCGAGGAAATCGACATCTTCCTCCAACCACCGTCAGACACCGCCTCCTAACTTCTTTCCTTTCCCTGTCCCCTCCTTCTCAGTTCTACTACGCCCGCCCTTGACCACCAGGTCACCGGTGCGATGCGAGTGCTCTGATGGCCCGCTTGCCTGAAAAGGTTTCAGCGATGTCACTCGAGGAGATGTGAAAGACAGGGAGGAACAGACACCGATTAAGTTCACCGGTTGGACCGTTTAGTGGGGGAGGGTTGACACGGCCTGCAAGTGCATGTTTCCGTTATTAGCGATTAAATGTGCGCCCGGTCGTGTTATCAACTGTCCACCGTCTCACCGCAGGTGGGAACGATAAACTACTATATCGGCCCGAGCCGGCCGTCGGTGTATGAAGAGGTCCGGGGGGGTGTCATCTTGACAGCGAAACACGGCGGCGATGACCACTGTAGGCAATCCGATAATCAGTTATTAATTTAACATCGATCCGCGACTGCCATCCGCCGCCGTCCCGCGTATTCACTTAATATACTTCCATATTGTTTTCAAAGTTAATAAAAAAACCACAACTTTTAATCCGGTTTTATCTATTTTCTTCAACCCCCCCTTACTACCGTGTCATACATATTCATTATAATATTATGTATATTATATATAAATGTCTGAAGACAAAACCAAATGAATTTAGGGTATTTTTAACCTTTATTTTAAAAAAAGTCAGTACAGTGGACAAAGGCATAATAGGGACGGGGAGGTCACAAGTTACCAGGAAATTATAATAATACCTAATTTTGTTTTTTAGTCACACAAGGTCAGCCAATACCACCAGGTGAGTAACAAACAAATATTAACGTCACTTCATATACTTTAACTAAGTTTGTTTATACATTGTCGTAACTTTGTCCTAGCCATTGATCAGTCACATTGCCGCAGAAATGAATTAATCTGTATTTTGTCTCAATTTTTAAGGGAATGGGGTGATTTTTCTCAATTTTGGTTAATAAAGTTTTTCTTAGGTACAATTTCTGATCTAAAGGGTTGTTACTTGAAGAAATTGGTTCAGTGCTTAGAAAAATTGGTGGGTAAAGACACAAAATTAAAAAATTAAAACACATTACCTTAAAAACAATACTTTCTCAACTCTTCGTCGAAGATAAAAGCCTTGCTCCAATAATAATAATTATAATATGTGCAACATGTATAAGAAAATGGTAAATAAAAAAAAAATGTATTAATTTTTTTATGAAAAATCCTCACCGGTAACTATAAAATCGCGTAAGAAATTATATCTTTAAAATCATTATTTTTCTTACACACATATTTTAACGTTGGATAATAGTAATATTTTGATTTGTACAATTTGTTGGACTAGTTAGAAGTTGTAAAGGCCTTGTTAAAGTAGAATACGCTTAGAGATTACATTCATTATACATTTTGTTTTAATTGTATTACACAGCGCTAATACTAAACAAAATATTTGATACATGTAAAAAAAAATTGCTACTCAATTGTTATTTATCTGTGTACCAATAGGTAAACAGTAGTTTTATTTCTTTAATTTATTGGATTAGATGGCAATAATGTGGATAGGACGCCGCGGCTAAATAACCCAAGTGGTCAGTATCAACTATATATTCATTATATTATGTATATTTTAAATAAATGTCTGAAGGAAAACCATATGAATTTAGGTTTTTTTTAATAAAGTCAGTACAGTGGGCAAAAGCATAGTAGTGACGGGGAACTCACAAGTTAACAGAAAATTATGTTAATACCTAATTTTGTCTTTTAGTCACACAAGGTCAGCCAATACCACCGGGTGAGTAACACACAAATAATAACGTCACTTCATACATTTTAACTAAATTTATATATAAATTGTTTTCTAATAATAATTCAATAATAATTATTATAATATATACAACATATATAACAAAATGGAAGATTAAAAAAAGAGATTTTTTTTTTTCTAATGAAATATCGCGTAAGAATTATAGTTATTATTATATTCTAACGTTGGAAAAAACTAATTTGATTTGTTGGACTAGTTAATGTTATAGCGCCGCAAATTGTTGACGACCAAGGCTATATACCTATAAAGTCAGGTAATAATATTAGATTTAAAACAAATGTATTAAGAATTTAGACCTATAGGCTATATTAATTCTGATCCGAGGATATCTTGAGACGTTTGGAGAGTTATTCTCGTTCTTCGGATCATGTAAATAAGCCAATAAATACATTTCTGCCCAGCATAAATAGTAATTATTATGATTAAATGTATAATTATCTTAAAACGCCCGACTTTTAGTTTATACATTTTTTTTAGGTTCTGGGCCACGATGTTGTAATGGTAAGGATTTTCTTCACTTATTTGCTTGTATCAGCTCCTCCGATTGGAGAGATTTCAATATTATAAAGTTTCTATACTTGTTTAAGTTAGGTTTGGGCAATACATGGCATGTAAAATATCTCGGTTATTTATTAATTAAACGTTTTATTGTTGTATATTTTGTTCGTGTAATTTATATACCCATAATGTCTATTTTATTTAAATGTTTTTGTAGCTTTCTGCAATGTGGTGAAACTAGCAGGATCTTGTTGTTGTAAATTTCCAAAAGAATGACCAGAGGGTACTCATTGTTATTACAAATACGGTAATCAAACCTAATCAATATACATATGTATTATTACTAATTTTAATATAACGTAATATAATTTACATATATGTATTAGGGTGGTCCTATTGTTTCGAGCCAAATGCTAAAACCAACTTAGGTACTTTGTTCTGGAGTTAACATTTTTTACTCATTCAATGTGACGGTTAAATCATCTATACATTTGATGAATGTTGCAAGTTGAGGCCAACTCTACTAGGTCTGTGTTTAACTCTTCGATTAAATAGGAAAACTTTAAGAAAAAAGATAGAAATCAGAGTTATTTTAAAAAGTACATTTAGAGGATATTTTATAAAAGTAGATTTAGCAGTTATTTTTAAAAGGCCCGATTGTAACACAATTAACCGATTAACAAAGGTTTTTATTAACAATAGAGACATTATGAAAATATATTCTATTTTCCCTAGGAATGATTATATTGGGTTTTTTTTTTTTTAATTGCAGAAAGAATCCAACTGTGGCTTGTGAAAATATTCCAGTTTCTTATGAATACAATATAAAGTTCTATTTGTATTTATAAACTTTTACTCAACTAAAATTATATATATTCACCAAATCACAATAAATTTTTATCATCTGACAAATTTAAAATGTTTTGTTTTCTATTAATCATACCTGCCAAATATGTACGCTTGATAAGTAAAAGTTTATCATTAAAGATAAATTGAATTATTTTAATGAAAAGAAATTAACTGTGATCTAGCGCCATTACTCCCTTTTTAACTTCTTATTGTAAAAAGTAAGCGACTAGTTTTTATCGTCCTTTCGGTAGTACTCCACAGTTGGAAATATTAAATTTATCGAGCTGGAAAAATACACACATATTAAAAAAATATAAATAAATTTTAAAAAAAAAATTCTATATTTGTCTTCTATTGCAATACAAAACAAAACAATGCTATTAACAAGTTTTTTCATCAGTAATATTTAAGTGTATACATGAATGGAAAAGCGTTTAAATTTTATTCGTTAGATATATTATTATTATATATTTTCATGTCTGGTAGTTTTCAAACAAAGCAAATCCATCAACCTTTATGATCACAAACGATACATATGTATGTATGTATATATATATATATATTTATATATTAAGTTATGTTTTCACAATCCTTATCGTCTACGAAACAAATGGTGGCCGAGTTACAAATAAAAACCCGTTGGAACATAAAATACGGGGGGAATAGAAATGCAATACTGTACGACGTGTCCTATAATATTTAATAATAATAATAATAATAATATGATGCTACTAGTCATTGTTATTGCAACGACAATGCGCGGTTGTATAGTTTAACACATACATTAAATTTGTTTATAAATACAATATATGATGTATGAGATGCATACATTAAGCGTACCGTTATAAATTATAAATTTATCAAATACAAAAGTTATAAAATAGAAATTATCGAGAAATACAATACGAGAATAATAATAATATATATATATATATATATATATATATCAACTCAGGTCTTATGCGCGTACTTGGAAAGAAAAAAAAAACATTCGAAATAAAATACTATCACATTTTCGAAAAAGGTATGACAAGGGACGATAATAATAATAATAAGGGTTTTTTTTTTAATTTAAAAAATAATTATTCCGCGTTTGTCTAATTATCGACAACGACAAAACGGCGGTTTCTTTTTTTTGTTTTAAATACTTGCGTGCCGGTCGTCGTACGTGCTAAATAAGGTACGCACAACACAAGCTGACAACTACAACAATCCGATTAACAATGACCACGTGGGCAAATTACAACGTTTAATATATTATATTTATATTTAATATTATATTAATATTATTTCATATTAATATAGAATAGTTAATAAATAAATTAGTTCGATCAATGTTATGTATCATTGTCAGAAAAAAAAAACAAATATTGTTCGTCTAGTCGAGGGCTTACAACGACGTTATCTATCTACTGTGTGAACAACTACAACGGCCTTTATCTGGTCTATCCTTGTCATATTTAAACCTTTTTTTATTATTACATAATATAAATATATGTAAAAAAAAAAAAAAAAAACACAAAATTAATATCTATATACATTAGGTAAACTTTTAAATGACTACTAGGTAATGTTTTTTTTTTTATACATTTTTATATATATGTATTTTTTTTTGTTTTTTTTTTTTTAGGAATTACTGCCACGCATGCAATTTTCTTAACAGCGATCCATTTCGGTCTACGTAGCCACGTTCTGTGACCGCGAGTGCCTGGACGGCCCAGGCCGAGGATTGTACTTTTTCGGCGTCCACTTGATGGCGCTCGCGTCAATTATGAACCTGGGCCTTTTGTACTGTTCAGAACTGACCAGTTGCTCGACGTTTTTGGGCGTCACGCAAATCACGTGCTGGCCTTTCCAGTATTTCACCATGTTCATCGACTGCAACGTCGATATGATGTCCGTCTGCGTAATACTGGTCATCGCACTAAAAAAAAAAACAACACAATAGCATTCCGTTAGAAATCGGTTCTTTTCCTCCGTAAAATTCTTTTGATTGTTTGTCGTTCGACTTACCTCAAGTCTTTGATGGACAACGAGCCGTGCGTGTTCTTGAGGATTTCCAACAGTATCCAAGACCAGTAAGATCTGTACGACAGTTTTCCGAGATCACTCAAGGGCTTCTCGGGGCTGGCTACGAGCCCTTCTAACTTGCTCAACTCGTAGCTAAACGCTATTAACAGTTTGCCATAGCCTTGCCGCTGAAACGGTGGCATGGTCAGAATACAAGCTACGTTGTTGCAGTCGGGTGAATCTTTCTCCTGTTAAAAACAGACGGAACACAATGTGTAAATTACTTGTTCGTCCGACATTCTCGCAGTTAAAAACCATTGACGACACACATCGGAGTGCCGCAAGCGATGCAAGCATACTCACTTTTGAAAAATATCCGACTAAATGGGCTCCCACCTTGTCGACCTCGCAAAGTACGTAAAACAGGAAAGGTTCCACGTCGAAGTAGAGTGTTTTGTGGTCTAAGAAGAGTTTTGAGAGTAAACACAGATTTTGACAGTACATTTTGTGTTGACTGGAATTCACTTCCCAAATGGAAAGCGATCCCTTATGGTAAACTTCAACGCCGGGCGGCTGTCTCCACGTGCATTGACTCTGTAAAACGGCAGGGTATTATTGATTATGTAGAGAATCGGTTTTTTAATTTTAATTTTAAACTTTTTCTCGCTTTCAAACCTACCATGTGGTATTTAAACGATTTTTCCAGCTTGCTGTACTTCAAACAGTATTCGCAAATCCAAATCTTGGATTCTTTTTGGTACTCGGCTGGAAACGGACTGTAATACCACGTGTCGATTTCGTACTTTCCCAACTGAACCTTGTTGATGTATTTTATTTTTGTTATCGCCTCGTGTTCTTTTTCTAAGGCGGCCGTTGTGGGATCCATATCGGCATAGGACTATAGTTTCAAAAAAAAAAAAAAAAAATGATTAGTTTGAGAAAAATACAACAATAATATACCGTTTGTTAATTATTTACTTGCATACCATTTGTACATGATTTATTTCGTCGTGTCGCCTTTTCTGATTTCTCGTAATCTTCCTGTCGGACTGATTGAGAAGATCGGGCATTTTATTTATTTCTTTTTGTCTCCAACAAGATTTTTCGGCAATGTCAAATCTCGAGTTCATTATCCTGGAGAACACACAAATAGTAATTTAACAGGATACGTGATACAACATTTTGCATGATTGCAAAACTAGAATATTATATATTGTTGCCGTACCGTTCCCTTCGAACCCATTGGTCCAGTCTTCGGTTGTAACCCTCGAAGTGGACATAATATTCAAAGTGATGTTCGTGGTCGTTGAATCGGGTATGTAAAATTTCTGCAGGATCTGATAAAACAAAAAAACAACATAGAAATTTAATAAAAAAATGTATTAAAATATTATTACAAAGAAACGCTTGTCGCGCAGCAAGATTGGTTTTCAAATGGTGAACGCAACATTTTAATTCTACGGAATCCTTTTTTTGAAATGTCACGTAGCCGCCAAATTAACAACGTGATAATTATTTCTTCATATTATTAAGTATGTGTTTTCAAAATAACTAGATTTTAATTTGTCAAACACGACATAATAATAATTATCTCTTAATTATTGTTTGACAAGGGAAATTCTTTTGAATTTAAAGGACCAAAATAGGGGACGATCGCTTGTCCTCTACCACAAATCAAGTTTATTTTGGACAAGTATTCTTCTTTGCTTACAACGTGGTAAAAACATTCGATTGTTTTTTTTATGTTTATAAGGAACAAGGGCATGAATGGGCGGTTCCATTCTTAGGCGAGTTGCCTAAAATACTATCAACAAAATCGCTAATATCTATAAGTTAAGTATACTTAATACATTAATGTATTATAATACTTCATTGTTCGGTAATATAAAAATACAAAAAAAAATTAGTAAACAATAGTGTATACAGGGAATGTAAGAAACAAGACACTCGTTTTCTCTTAAAATAAATACAATTTTGTAGGTTTTTTTTTTTTGGGAACATTTTTCCTTTTGTTATTTTACAAAATGTTCAGAAAACTATTGTGAATTTTAAAACTCAATTAACTATTTTATTATGTTACCATATAAGTTTTAAAAGTTCTAGAAAATACTAAATTAGATAAAAATTCGAATATCGACTACTATATTGTTGTAGACTAACTAAAATGTCTCAAAAAAAAAAAAAAAAAATTTCAATTATTTCAAGAGAAAACGAGTGTCTATTCCTTTACCAATCACCCTGTATAGTAGTGGAATATAGTTTGTTGTTGTTGTTATAGTTGTCGCTTAATTAGTTATAATTAATTAGAACCATCAGCCAAGGTCAAAAAAAAAAACCTAACCTAACTGGAAACTTTTTCACCTTTGTCAACAAAAAACCACATTTTTAGATCAACAAATAAATACCAGAGTAGTAATTTGTGTTGCTGATTAATCGCTGAAGTTGTTTAAAACGGAAAAAAACAAAAATCGTGCATGAATTAATTATGTTCATTATAACATACTGTTCATAGGTCAATCACAATGAAAGATAACACAGGTATTTACACTATTGTACTGTTGTAGACGTGTATATTATTATATAAAAGTATTAAAAAAAAAAACAATACAGTTTAATGTACAGTTAATTGCCAATTGTATAATTAGTAATGGGAAGGTGTTCAAGCAAGACTTGTAGACTTTCAATGATTTGAAATATTTGTTTTTTTGGTAATTATTTTATACACAACCGAAAACTGGCAAAAACCAGTTATTTAGTTTTTTTCCTATAAAATAATAATTATTAAACCCGAAGAAATGTTAACGAAATAACATATTTCTTTGTTATGTGAAATAATTTTAATTCTAGAAAAGATAACAATGAATGTCTCACGGTAAAACCTAATCTAACTGCTAGTTGCTCCGTTTTATTTTACTTGGAAAATTACAGAGCTCATCATTTTCAATTGTAAAATGTTAATTTGATTATTATGTAATCGTTAAAAAAAAAGAAGCGAATAGAAAATAACTGCTTAGTATATTTGTAAAAACGGGTTGGGCTTTTTAAAAACAACTGGTTTTTTTGCCAACTCAGTTGAACGGTTTATTGCACTGCATAAATATGCTGCGATGGGAGTTTAAATTGCGGATGATTGATGACAAGTGATCTCACTGACAATTTATTATTAAGATACAAACGATGCAAATACACTGATTAACCGGATGTAAACAATTTTTTTTTAAATTTAAATTTCACAAAGTTTCTGAACCTTGAATTTGGTTATCAAAAAATTTATTCTATGGGAAAAAATTTTAAATATCCTACTTATACAAAAAAAAACTGCCACTTATGTTGCCCCGCTGAATCATTTTTAATTTTATAATTAATGTTGAACTAGCCATTTTCGCAATAGTCAATAATTTAACGTGTATTAAATGTATTAATTTTTTGAACTACTGGTTACCGGTTTATTAAATTAGAGATTTTTAAATACATTTATTTACCGGTTTATTAAATTAGAGATCTTATAGCTATTAAAAGCTTAATGTAATATGTTTATCAATATCATAACGTTTGATAAGAAATGTGACGGCTTTATCATTTTCCTTTGTGATAACACCGGAAAATCCGCACATAACCTAGGTTATGTTATTAACCAGAATTGTTTCAATGAACTGTTAGTGCATCACAAACGACTCGTTAAACTACTTAATTTAACGGGTTACAAATTTGTGAGGCTAATACACAATTTATTATATTTATAATTATTTAAAAAAGAAAAAACACCTACAGCTACATTTAAGTTACAAAAAAAAAAAAAATTCCAATCCAGAGTCTGAATAAGGTGACAAGGAAAATATGTTTTGTAGAAAAATGTACAAAAAATACGTTATAGCAGGTTAATTTTTTTGCTTTTCTATTAAATATACTTACTACAACTATTAAGCTTCCTTTTTTAAATTTCGCGATCCTGAAACGTATGGATTAACAACACCAAGAGTAAAATAATGTCGTCACAGTATTAATTAAAATTTGATTGCATGCAAGTCCTGAATAAATTTGTTGATTTAATTTCGAAATTGACCAATGTACCAAAGTAATTAATTATCTATACAAGTTTGCCTATTTCTTTAATACTCAAACCTAACAAACATGAAAAACGATCACTTGAACACTTCAAATAAAAATATAGATATATATACTTTACTCCTATGTGCATGCCAAAAGCCAAACTAGTTGTATGATTTGTTGTATCGTCTTTGTACTTGTAATAAAATAAAATCTATGAGCCTGCAAAAGTGTTTGTTTACTTGTTTACACATACAAATAAACCAACGCATTTTTAAGTATGTCCAAAAAACATGACATTGATATTTTTTCATTTAATCGAGCAGCGTTACACCACATTTTGGGTTAGCTGTATAGCTATACTGTTATTTTTTTTAATTTCCGTTTTTTTTTTATTGATGTATATATATATATATATATATATATATATTTAAATTTCCTCTTTTTGTGTGTTCTTTGTCACTTTTGGTGTTGGCCTACGTTTGGCACATCCAGTTCATGCACCTTTCGAGTCTATTAATAACATAATATATCCGCCCACTTCTTCCTCAGCCTACCTCTCCTCTTATTCTAACTGAACAGTTGTTGTATAGGTGCGCTTCCGTCTGCCATGAACTCTCTTACCTTTTTTGCTAGGTATATATTATCATTTTTTTTTTTAGTTCATCACTGTTTAAGTACGCCTGTCGTTTATATCTTTTTTCGGTTTCCTCTCGTCCGTCTCCGCAATTCGACGACAAACTTCTTAAAAATATTTTCAACAAAAGATGTGTGTTCACAGTATCGAGTAGGTACCTTCTAGTAATTGTTTGCTAACAACTCACTGACGTGGGCAAAACAGGTTCTTTACAAAGGGGTATATTTTATCCGGCTTTGTCGTTAAACTTCCAAGTACAACTTTCAACACTGTACCCATTAATAAATCCTAAACTATTCCACTCCTTTATACATAACTTTCGTTTACTAAAACTTAGCGACTCGAGTTGATGTCGAGATTAGTATAATAATTATTATTACTGCTTTGAAAGTGTGTAATATTATTAAAAAGGTAGTAAAATTGTATGGAAACCGACGAGGTTAAACATTGTTATGGCAGAAAAGTAATTTTCAAACATAGAAATTAAAATTATATAGTTACAACTTGCATATATACATTTTAAAAAAAATACAATTTTTTAAAAACCTAATCTAACCTATACAATGTATTAAAAAACTGTATAGGTATCAACTAATTTTCTGAAGAAAAAAAATGCACACAGCTATACTTTTAAATGGACTCGTTTATTTAAAACAACAGAAGGGATATTTTTTAAATTTAGAAGTGATGTAGATTTTTTTTTGGGGGGGGGGGGTATTACATAACAATAGCCAAAAGTATATTAAGTAACATCTCAGCTACTTTGCATCAAAGAGAAAGTCGCGCAACATATGTATGAAAACCTTCTTTTATATAACCTAACCTAACCTAACCAAAAATTATACTTTGAGAATATTGAGAATATTTTTTGACCTTTTTAAAAAACGTTTACTTGATTGGAAAAAAATTCTGATTCGAAGAGTGTAATTACAGTTGGCCCAATAACATTTTCTACTCGAGGAAATTGAAGTTCAATGGAGTTTAATTGAATTTTTTCCCATTATTTTACATCAATTTATTATAAAAGTCCAATACCATAAAAAAAAACTGTTAATTTTTTTTTTATTGATTTAAACTTTCAAAGTATCAATAATCAGACAAATGTGTGATCAATAAATTGTAATGTACAAAAAAAAACCAACCGATTTCCGTTACTATTAATAACACGAAAAAATAAACATTAGGTATAAAATCAATATTTTCTCAAACCCGCATTGTCAGTAATGAAGTTTTTTTTATTATAATATAATATCTCTACTGTAATGGTTGGCTTGTTTTTTTAACGGTACAACAATTGTGCGTGGGTCGACCGAATATAATAATAATATGATGTTTGTATTTTACTTTAACTGACTGAAATTGTGTTCAATCAAATATTTATAGACTAAAGCAAACAGAAACGACGCGGTATTATTGAACGAGTATTGTTTGTCGTTCACTTTTAAAGGCAAGATATATTTTTTTAACTTTTTTTTTCTTATCTATACACTATCTCTGTTCAATCATCATTTTATCATTAATATTTGCTAATAGTAAATATTTTCGAGACTTGGTACGAACAATCGCCTATTTTGTACGTCTCCATATCGAACAAAATGTTTAAATTCTGCCCACAAGTCCATTAAAAGTCGTACAAATTACTTAAGATTATCT